ATGAACAGGTGTTTGCGCACCTCAATCTGGGAAGATGCAGGACGCCAAAGACGTGTCATATAGTACCCGTCCGCAGATGATGAGTGGAGATCTTCAGCCTAACCAAGGGTTTGGGATCGGAATTTATTTCTGGATGCGAGGCCTGGGGAGAAATTTTTGGAGACGAAGACGTGTCAAGACTTATTGCGGTGTGAAAAGACGCTCACCACAATGACACACTACTGGCTTCTGAAACATTGTTTGAAACTTATGGAGGGCCAGCCCAAACACAATCAAGGGGAAGAGGTTATTGAAGCTATCTCCATCGGAGAGATGTTTTGAACTCATTGTTTACGATGCGGCTGTCAAGATAATTTCCATGTCGCTCTTCGGAGGTCTGCTTGTGTGTTGTCAATAGGTGGTCTGGACTGCTGGTAACACGAGATGCGCGGAAGACCGGTGAGTTGTCAGACGGAGCTAGGACTGCTGCCTTTTCTGGTCAGGAACGGAATTTTTAACGTTCGAGAAGCACGTCAGTTCAAGAACGATTAAGGTGCTACATGTATGCATAGAAAGACGGATTAGTGCTCTTGATTTCGTCTAGGACAAGATAGACGCCCTACCAACCTATAAGTTAGCCTTGACCGCCAATGGCTAACAAAAGCAGACGTTGAAAGCTGTGGTGGGACTAGGTTGCAGGAATCCTTAATGTACTGTAGGATGTGGCTAAGGGCACAATGTTCAATAGTGAGCGAACTAGTCATTAGTCTTAAGTTCACTAGCACTGATAGTTGATGGATAAAATGCGAGGATATCATTACCCTAGGGATGGTATGTGATTTACAAAGCTCCATACATGTTCTCGACCATGCCGTTGGGGAGGAACCATAGATGCTTCTGCCGGGTCACAGCATGATATTGTATGCAAGTACTTCAAGACGTACTATGCAGGCGATAGAAACCTGGAATATCACTCCTCGGCCTCCATCGGTCCATGCGGTTATCATGAGAATTGAGACTACTCCAGACATTTACGATTCTATAGCGCGTTTTTAGAGTGATGTTTGCTTTTATAGTGCTTATCCACCACATGGATCTACATGTAGTTATATGACAAATAGATTTTTGCCCAGGGCGTAAATGAGAGCTATCAGACTGGCCGGATAAAAAGAGATGTTTTGCCAACTAATTGAGCTGATGAGGGGGGAAAAGATAAATCTAGTATACAGACCGAACCCAAAAGAATAAGACAAAAAGGAATGAAAAGAAAGAAAAAAAACTCAAAGCTCTCCCTCCCAAAGGCGCCCTATCATGCCCCCATATGATCCATGACCCACCCAAAAGATTCTAATAATACCTTGGTTATCGTCCCGTAAGAATTTAAAGAAAAGTGAATAACCCATCAATCAGTCGACTCAACGGTTATTACAAAAGAAACAACACAACAACAATAATAATAATGAACGCCGTTTCCCAGATAGGAATAATAATAATACAGAACCGTTGAACCATCCCATGCATCATCCCCGGCCTCCCCGCTAGACCAACCCCAATGTGTACTAACCCATTATCTTGTCGAAAAATCCACAAGTATCGCAAAAACGCACCTCCGAGATGTCGAACTCAACCCCGAATCCCGATTCCACTGCCATTATGTGTTTTATCTTTCCTAGTATCTCTTTCTCCTTCTCTCATTGCCGCTGATGTCTTTCCCCTCCCCAATATCCATCTGGATCCACTATTGATATCCATCGACTCGGAGGTACGGAATAGGCCTTAAGCGTTATAGGTACATGGACGGCAGGTCTTGAGCTTGCAGTATTTACACTCAAACACAAACCAGTGAGGTCCTGATGCGCACATTCCACAGCGCCAGAGTAGGAGTGTGTTTTCGCTCTTGATGATTTTAAAGCTGTGGTGGCAGTAACCAGGAACGGCCATTTTTTTGGACTTAATTTTGAAAGATTTATTTGGGAAGGTAGTGGTAATAGGTAGGATTGATGATCAATGCGCAGTAGTAGTGGTAGTGGTAGTAGTAGTGACAGTAGTAGCAGTAGTAGGAGGAATCAAAAGAATCGCTCTTGTCTTAATTGTCTTGAAACTCTGTTTGCAGTGTGATCAGGAATCGGATACTGAATGAGAAAGCAGGACCTGGGAGCGAGGGACGGTCCTCGTATTATATATCTACTCTGAGGCAAAGCTGGATCGAAGGGGTATTAAGTGAGGTGAGTGTCAGCATGGAAGGAGGTGGTGGTGTGGGCCTCAGACCTCTCTACCCTCCCCATTCTCCCTTAATCCTCCTTCCCTCCTACCAATCGCCGAATTTTTATTGCGGCTCTATTCTCCCCCATGACTCTTTTTTTATTTTATTTACCACTTGATCTCTACCGAAATTAACTACACTCAGGTCTCTGCTGTGAGATCGTCCAACTGATACGTCAGACAGGTACATTGGAGAAGCTCGAATATGGAGGGAGGATCTGCCCTGTATGTCTGCCTGCCCTGTCTGTTGGTTGGAATGTCTGCTTCTTTGTATGTATGTACATATGTATGTATGAATGTATGTGTATGTATGTACATAAGTAGCCCTGGCCAACCGCACCATCACCCCTCGAGGGCTAGTGGTTCATGAAGAAATGCTCATTGTACTCAAGTAACAGATCAAGTCGTTGACCACGACGAACGACGCCTATACCCGCAACGACCGCATCAAGTGACTTCTTAGATCAGACCTCTACTCTCACAGGTGACAAAAAAGGAGTTCCGTAATAATTCTCCTAACCCTCCCTCCAAATAGTTTTGTTTATAGCCAAGGCCGGCCAAGGGTTACCACCCCCCTCATCCTAATCGAGAAAACTTTCACCGCGCCCACCTTGCTCCGTGAAATTACTTTTTTAGTGGCTGCTCCTCCCTCCATGCCCCCCTCCCCCTCCCCCTCCGTACCAAGCTATCGGGAATAAAAATCCAACAAGTTGGTTCGGTGTTCTATGCCTGCTGCACCTACGCTTTGACATTTCTGCGCGTTCCTTGTTGGTATGGGGGGGGGGGAGGTAGGGAGGTAGGTTGAGGTGACTCGCGCGATACCACCACTCCTAGCTTGCCCCGAAGGGATAGAGTGCTTTGCTGCTGCGTTCTGCATACGTACAGTGGATCTTCCAGAAGCTTTACTTGGGCAAAAGGAAACAAGGGCACACCACGGTCAGCTGGGATAGTTGTTTCCTGCCTGTTTTATCTATCATGATCAATCTCGTCATTATTAGACGTACACCTCCCCCGGCAGGGAGTAGCTGGGTAGGTAGGTAGTACGGGCGGGACGAACTTCATATAAAGGGGAAGGATATAGAGGGAAGTTCTTCTATCCTTCCTGGCTGGAATGGGTTCGTTGCACCACTGATCTTGTTTCCTTTTTATTGCCTACTACTTTTTTTCTCACCATCGATCAATTGGTAGCGTGTGTGTCTTTTTATTTTTATTTCTCAGGAATCATTGTGGGGGTAGAAACTCAACAATGATGTGGATACTAACTAGCCAGGTAGATACGGTAAGAGGTGAGGTCGTCGCAGAGGGAGGTACAAATGACTACAACCAGGAAGTACCTCGCCTTTAACGGAAGAAACATATGTTTCATCCCGTGCCCCCCCTCCCCAAAATGAAAAATCCCGGGCGATGGGATGTGGTGTGGGGGTGTGGTGTTTCCTCTGGTACTGCTAGGTATTGCTACGGACGTTAACCCAATTTAAAGGACCGTGGAACCCCCCGGCCCTCCCCCCCCCCCCCCCCCCAAAGCAATCTTGTTCAAAGTTGCACAACCACCACTAAGAACAGCACCACCACTGCTATCATCATACTGACTACATGTTTACCCACCCACCGGAATTGGTAGACAAGACAGACGTTTTTGTCACAAAAAGGTTAACTAGGCATTCGGCGTTTGTTTTTCCTGACATGACCGATTTAAACGGACGGGGGGGTAGTGTTTGCTTTTTCTTACCTGGCTATGGATCAAGTCGGGATTTAATACGATCGATTTAATACTCATCACGCGAAGTGAAATTGCAATACAAAAAGTTGCGCGGAATGCAGTAGTCAAAACTGGTTTTTGAATTTGTCTTCTTGCTAATGGGTTGATTCTTGTGGTCAAGCTGGCGAGTATTAAGCCCAACTTCTTACATGTATACACCTGGTATGAAGTCCCAAATTCACCTGGCCGGCCGGCCGACACAACGAACCGGCCCATGAACAGCATATTCTCGAAGCTGCGGTTTTTCACTAGTAATGCACCCACACGCTTTCTTGCTTGCTTGCAGGAGCTGAACCAATCCCTCGGTTGTGGTGCTGTGAAGCGGTCTGTGAGTAAAAGTTGAGGTGAGGTGAGGTAGGAACGGTTTTTAATACAGCTGATCCCTGCCCTGTCTGTCGGGTATCAATTCCTCTCGGCGCGGCAGTTGTCACATCTGGGTACAAGTACGGAATTGATTTCCTCCCAATTAAATAAATAACAAGTGAGAGACGGAAAGAAAACGCGCAGAAACAAAGAAATTCAGGGAGCCGCGCCGCTTGTCTGTTTATTTGGAAGAAGAAACCGGGCAAAGGGTTGTGAATAGATGGAGTGGATGGAAGCTCTCGAGAAGAAACAGAAGGCTCAGTTCCAGGTATGCGGGACCGATTGGATTGGGAACATAATCCCAGCTCTTTTTTTTTTTTTGCTGAAACCTCATATCATAACCCTGGTCTGAAGTGAAAGCAAACTTGGGTCAGGTCCGCCCGAATGATGTCTTACCACCCTACCAAATGACATACTGCTACACATGAGCAGTTACATATCTATCGTTGGCTTACGGTTGACATTAATTACATGTATATTGACTCCCAAACATAGAATGTCGCCCACAACACGACTATGGTGATGCCTTTTGTATCAGGCCCTGACATAATGAGAAAAGTAAATAAAAATTAAAAAAATAATGAAATATCGAAACATGACCTCGCAGGACGGCCCTGACGTGACATCCAGGTCTTTATTACTCCAGCCTGCAAGTCCGTGCCTTCAAACATATTTTCCACTCTTTACCGCATTTATAGCAGAACTCCGCTTTACATTGACAGGTAATACTAGATGTGGACAGATAATTAGACGAGGTGGTGAGTCGGATCATATAGGACGAAACTTACTGCTCACACCCATATGACTTCTCTACTAGGTGTTGACATCTGTGACACTGCACCCATCCAATGTTTTTTCCAGCTTCCAAAACCTATCCATCAATAATCCTCACGATAATTAATGCCGGGAAAGGGGAGCAACATATATAGATTAAATATAAATACGTACCTCCATACTGTCACGATCCTCGATACAAACCCCCCGGTGCTTCCCCTTCTTGCAGTGCGTACAGGTTACCCGCCGGCATTTTCGACATTTTGCATCGTTCAGTTGGATGTTTGCTGGCGGGATAAATGTGCTGCAACGCTTGTTGTAGCAGTAGGTTTTATCGGCCGTTTCGTATTCAAGCATCAGTTCATTATAACGCGCAATTTTATTCGCACCCAATAGAGCACCCGCCACGGAGACGTCGATTGTGGTTGTTCCGCAACACTTGACCGGGAATGAGCCGTGGGGATCATCCAGAGCACGGGTAAATAGAACTAGACGCCAGCCCATACCCGGACTATGTAAGCCATCTCTTTTCTAGAAGCATAATATGATTCCCTAGGAAAACGGTAGATATAAAACGTACTTTTTAAGCACCCTTTGCAATAAGAATGCAAGCATTCTGCGGGAATTTGGATCACGGAATTTCTGTCAAACTCCTCAAGACAGACAACGCATGTCGGCCCAGTCTGAGCCAGGGCCCCCTCTGAAACCACTCCCAATGGTGTGACAGTGGCTTTACCGTCCTTCCCAGTGAATTTGTTCAACAAGCTCACCGAGTGTTTCCTTAATAAGCTTCTGATTGGTGTGCTCGTTGCCGAATTTTCTCGAGGCCGAGAGGTACTATTGAGATTGCTCCTGGCGGGATTTGGGAAAGATGAAAAGGCACTGGATTTGACCCCATTCACAGCCACTATCGGACCGCTCACCGGAGGATTGATCTGTTTAGATACACTACTCCTCGAGGATGAAGAACCCCACTTTGAGGACGTAGACTGTCCGCTCGATGACGTAGAGCCCCTCGAAGACGTAGAACCCTTTCCTCTGCTCTTCCTGGAGAAAAATCTCACTATTAAATCCCTTGTACTCACTGTCATCGTCGCCTTTTCAACTTCAATAGAACCATGTGTTTGAAGCTCCACCGTTGATTGACTTTCGGCCAGTGTGTCGTCGATTTGATTCCGAGAGCTTGTAGAAGCTCGTGAAGATGATTCTCCGTCGCCGTCGGTGGATAGTGAATGAGTATCAAATAGCCCCGGATTGTTTTCTCCCCAAGATGACGTCACGTCCCTAGATATCGATGAGCAAGAAGACAGTGAGGATGACGATGATGATCTAGACAATGAATTTTGAACCCGACTGTTATCCGTCTCCCTAGCTACTCCCTTCGTCTGTTCTTGAAATCCCCGTATACTTTCTTCGACAAATCGGACTTTCCTCTCCCCAATGCTACGCCGTCTTACCCCAGTTGACATAGAGCTTCGGCGGTTTCCATGGCTACTCTCTGATCCAATTGAGCTCTCGCCAGCTATTGACCTTCTATTCGCGGTCCTTGCATTGTATTGGTTGTAATGTTGCACTTCCTCAACAAGGCTGGAGGACACGTTGGCCGATGATGTAGGTGATATGACCTCAGGCGTAGTAGCCTGATATCGGGGACCTGTAGCAGCTTTTGATAGGTGACTCCCCGAATGTAAATTTGTCTTCGTGTTAACGGGGCGAATATCCCTCGAGCTCACGGGTCTCTGCATAGGCGGCCGCCTGTCCATTGCTGATTGATTTTTCTGTTGCTGCTTTTGGGTCTTCCCATTTGAAGAGCTCGAGGAGGGGTAAAGCAACCGTGTGTCTTTGTCAGCTGTTGGAATCCGCACGTCTGGGGAGCTGGAGGAGGGGGGACTAGTGGATTGTTGACAGTTGACCTGGGGTAGCACGGCAGCTTCACCAACCCTCCTGAGCTTGTGCCGTTGGGAAGCTTGTTCTTCCTCAGCTTGAGCGTACCGCCACTGTTGTCGCGAGCTCTGTACATGTCGCGCGTGTATATTATTGAGATCCCGTATGTCCTGTTGTAAAACCTCGAGCTGGTCCTCAAGCGCCATGATCTCACTAGGACGGAGATGCTTCTTCCATGCATCATCGTCATCTTTCGCAACTATCTGCCCCCGTCGGCTGATTGGTGTTACTACCGTGCTACTACCGCTATTGTTTCCTCCAAGCTCGAAAGCTAATGCAGCGGAAATGCTCTGAGTACTCCTCCGCCGGTTGTCGGGAAGTGCCTTTTGAATATTCTCAAGGCTCCGTACAACTGTTAACCGGGCGGCGTCGATGTCGGACGTATATCGTGGGGCCATCATAGTTATTGTCGTTATCGTTATCCTCGCGTCTGCTGTGTTGATTAGCAAGCTAGACAATAATAGTAATCCCATGTAGAGTTCAGTACGTACCAAGTCAGTTATTGAAACGACAGACTTACTTTACTCGTGACTGAAGTAAAGGGAGATGCAATGATGTCGATACCAATCGCATGCAAGGATGATGTATCTATCATCAAGCTTCTCTGTACTGGCGATGCGGGGGGGCTGGCTGCTGCTTGCTGCAAGGCTTTCCCGAGCTGTCTGATCTGTCCCACCAACCCATTTTTTGCGGGAAATTCCGAAGTTGGCGTCCAATTGGATCATGGAACATTCGGCAGCAACAAGATACCTCGATAAAACGAGTAAACTCCCAATGATACGATCCGGGTCAATATTTGGTTTCGGGTCTATAAGCGAAAACGCAAGAATGCCGTTGTGACTTTGGAAAGGCCAGTTCTGGTCAGGCTGGAGATGAGATGAGAACATTCATGAACAGAACTGGAAAAAGGAATGTTTGTGATGAATTGTGAAGGACGGTACTGTCCTGTGAATAATTTGAACTTATCATATTTAATCTATAAGATTTTTTAGTAGACTGTTTAGTTTCTATAGGGCGGGGTCTAACATGTGATATATGTTGGTTTGAGTATTCTGTGGTGAATTATTTGGATCATGGTTTATCACTCGCTGAAGTATTAATGTGTTTTTGGAGGGGAAATAATATTAATTGATATTAAAGAGGTTAGTTAGCTAGATGTATGTAGTTATATTCACAGGTATAACAGGACAAAACATCTATATGATCATATTGTTGTGTAAATATTGAGCCAATTTGAGATTCTTGTAATGCATTACATGTATGTACATGGAAAACCGGTTAACATGCAGCTTAAACTAGAATCATCATTTACCAGCATATGCACACTAAAGCTCTATCCCCTCCAGGATATAATCAAACTTTGCCCACTCCTTCGGCCTTGGCTCAAACTCCCCCAACTCCCATGACCACTCGACAACCTCCCTATCAAACCTCTCCAGCATCCACCCGGCTGTCATATCCATTCCCGCCGTAATGCCAGCACTACTCCACACCTTTCCATCCACTGTCCACCGTCCTTTCACCTGCCATTTTACTCCCTTTGGCACAACGCCCAACTTCGCCATCATCGCTAAAGAAACCCTGTTTGTCATGGCAGATCGACCCTCCAGCAACCCAGTCTTTGCCAATATCAGCGATCCCGTGCACACCGTCAAGATACTCTCAACCTCATCGTATCGCTCCAGCAAAAATTCCTTCACTCTAGGTTCAAGCGGGGCAATGGGGTCCTGGCCGGGAATAAGAAGGTAGTCAAGTTTGGGACAGGTTGTATAGGTGCAGGTCGGGGTCTGGAGAGGCCCACCGCTGGGTTGCATTGGAGAGAGGCTGTGAGAGATGAAGTGAAAGGTGATATGTGGAGCTTTTGCAGCGATTGCGGGGGAGGAGCACACATGGGTGACCCAGGGTGAAGTGATATTATGGATGAGGTCTATGGGGCCAATTGAGTCAAGGACTTGGTGACCATCGAGAAGGAGCACACCGAAACTGATGGGGGTTTCTTGTGTCATTTTGGTTATGGTAAGAGTTTACCTGTGGGTATTGATCTGATTGAGGGCTTGAGGGAGTAAGTAGGCTGATATGTCGCTTTATATATATAATTGAGCAGTCACATATAGTAATCACGTATGTACCCCGCTCTGACAGAACCCGGTCAGCCGGGGACCCTCACCACTCGAATCAGGCTCAGGAACCTCATCCCCCCTCAGCTCAGTCTCCTCCTCCTCTACGTCAACAACACCAATCATGGGCCCAATACCCATAGTTTACGCGTCCTAGCAAAGTCTCACTGTGAGCACGAGGCCAATGGCCAGAAGGATTTCACAGGGAAAGGCACCTAGCCCTCCCTCTAAATTGTTCACTGTTAGTTATATGCGTTTATCTTTCTTTTGTTATATTTTTATTTTGGAATTTTGCTTTTGCTTTATACCAGGGGACGAGTTATACGATGGTTAGGGGATAGGTTTCTTTACGCCATAGTTTTTACTTTACGCGATCATTGTGTACCTAGAAACAGAAATTGAAATGATATAAAAAAAAAAAAACCCCGCTCTGACAGATCGTATGACTTCCCCTCCAGTCCTAAATTCAACAGCGAATAATGGCCACATACTACGCTTCTCTATCACTTGAACTCTTCACGGGTGCCGTGGCATTCCTCAAAGCCGAAGCCGAAGCCGAAGCCGAAGCCGAAGCCCGAAGTCCGACGGTCATTATGCAGTACAACGAAACCAAGGCGGACTTAGGAGTTAGTGAAATTCATTCTCACGAGAATTGAAGATGGTTCTTATGCTATTATGATTAAGTCTTAATTGGTTGGAGTTTAATAGTTATCAAGTCGATCAGTGTGGACTCGCTATGAAATCACATATATAAATACCAAATCCATACCCAAATATCAAGGCACTAACCAAAATTACCTCGATAATACTCTAATATTCAGATAAGTATACACCGGTTTACATTTTCAAAAATTGGTATCGGAGAACCACCACAATCGGACCTCTTGAATTATCTGTAGTCTTAGTTCCTCACTACATGGATTATCGTCCGAACCCGAAACCGGAGCTCAAGCTCGAAGGCAAAGTCAAAAGTTCTACAAGTTCGTCATGCGCATGCACAAAACGCTCAGATTGAGGCCTCCGGATAAAACCTGGCGAGTGACACTGAAACCTATCCAATCCTGACTACTATGAAACATCCGACATCAAGGAAACCACTGAGAGAGAACTATCACATCGGCAACTGTACCGACATCTCGGGAGATATATCCAATCGGACAATTCTTACACAATCTTGTACACAAATTTACTTTCGGTGTTACGGGCACCGTGTAGACTTCCCTACCTACATATAATACAGTACAAAGATGTACACACTATCGAATTATACACAAAGATGTGTCATATTAACAATCTCACCACCATTTAAATTATCCACAGAGCAACATCCTGTACCACCTAAAATTTCCCTGGTAAGATTTCAGGGCATGTCATAACACACACCATGTAGCACACCTAAAATTACGGACCAGGATCTCTCCCCACACCTTCTAGAAGTGCTACGATATAGGCTAGGCGTTGATTATTTAGCAGCTGTCAGACCGATTTCATCCCTTACCGGGCTGCGGGTAGACATGTAATGATTAATCTGGCTAGGCTACCGCCTAAGGGTAGTGAGGTTCAAGTACTTACATGTATGTACAATAGGTACTATACATAGATAAATAAATACATTAACCCTAACCCTGTGACGATAAGATAAGATAAGAAACCTACGGTTCACGGGGTTGACGGACAGGGGCTTTTTGATCGAAGGTAAAACTGGGCTTGGCTGTCTCTCTTTTGGCTTGTCCGTCAACACCCAGTGTCCGTCAATACCCCGCGAACGACAGTACTTGTGTGTTTCGTTCATGCCCGAGAACTTACTTTTTTTCTTGAAATCAGATAAGGCCTGAAATATTCTGGAGGAATAAATGCGCCGACCGGCACCGTCGGGCTTGACCGAGGGTTGGTAATTGGTAAGACTGTGATATAAGAATATCACGGCGCCCGATGCAAGAAGACGTGCGGGCTTAGAAGGTCTTTGGCTCCATGTGGTACAGATTGCAAACACCTATTGAAAAAGAGTCGCATTGAACTCGGATGACAATTACACCACATTTATATGGTCATCAATTGCCCCTTGTATCTTGCTGCCTCGAGGACCCATTTCGTCCGTCAAGGAGGTCAAATTCTCGCCCTCAAATCCTGGCCTTGCTATTGCAAGTCTCGGGACATGCCCCATTAAATATCAGAGTAACCGAGTGGGGCGCTCATAAAACTAATTCTAGTTGTGTGAGGCCTCCCCGTTGGCCCGGACGTCCAATCCCCGCACCCCCGGAGAGGCTTCTTTAGACCACTAGAAACGGCGGATGGATAAGTCGTCTCATATTCTATGGGATAATATACAAATCACTTTCGGGTTGAGAATGAGAGCGTCCGGAATGTTATATAGGGTGACAATTTATGCTATTGAGCACGTGACCACCACAATTTTATTAGCTAGACCATATTATTACTACCCCCTCCCCCCTCTTGAGGTAATCAACCCCGTTGCATGCGTCCGTTGGACAGATGAAAAAAATCCTATTCGCTAAAAGAGAGAGACCTCTTAAATGGTGCGCGCCAATATTCGGCTCTTCTGATGAACGGCACGCTCTGATCCCGGTGGCCTATGGACCATTCTACCAAGTTGGCCAGCGGGGTTATTCTTCCGCAAGAAGGATTGAATCAACCATAAGTGGGGGCCCGGGTTCCTAGGCAACATGTACAGTCGCTCACCTAGTGACGGCGGATCCTGTCTGATGGTTGTGTTTGCAGTAATTTCCCCTTGGCGTCCCAAAGTTAACTCAGTTATTGGCCTCAAATCCCTGACCGCCATCAGACAGGATCCGCCTTCACCCCGTGAGTGACTGTAGGTATCCCATAAGCCTACCCCTGCGCTATATACACTTAGAGATCAGCATAACCCCTCACTCGCAGAAAGTGCAAAAGTTGGGCGGCAGGCTTCGTTGCTCACAAAATGAGGAATGGTTGTAGTGGTGGGGGTGTTATGTTATGACAAACGAGGGGATTTACGGCAGATAACGCTTGCTAGCGGGGAGCTAGCCTTTCGAGTGACAAGGTGTGACTTGATTAACGTAGGTAGGTACACCCCTGCCCTAGAGTCCTTGCCTTGCTCAGAAAGCACTCTTAGAACATACACCAACATCACCACCAAGAAGATAAGGCAGCTACGTAGAAGCTTGAGGACGAGGATTTAAGTACTGTTGTTGTTTGGCCATGGCCTTGTATGGTGTGCCCACTCTTAAAGGTGACGAAAATCGGGCGAAAAGTCAAGGGCTTATAACTTTGCCAAAAAAAAAATTAAAAAAAATCGGTAAATAAAAAGTGTAGTACTCGTGATAAACTTTAGTTTTTATTTCCAGATTTTTGATATCTACTTTAGTTAAAAAGTTATAAGAGTTTGAAGTTGCGGATTTTTGTATGTAAAAGGCGCCAAGACTGAGCAAAGTGGAACAGTATTATACCCATTTATACCCCTCAAAAGTGAATTGCGGCAGGAATGCAGCAAAGTGGCTAGGAATAAGCCCTCTCATTGGCCTTGGAGTTCACCTTGCAGCCACGATTGTTCCACTTCCAGATACCGCCGTGTCACCTTTAAGAGTATGCGCACCATACTGCTCGCCCCGCAAATCAGGCTCGGCCGATTGGCTCGTAAAAAGGCCGCAGAAACCGCACTTCCCACACCCTGTAACGGGTCGCCGATGCCCAAGTACTTTCCAGGCCCATAAAAGATCTGAGCATCAATGTGCGTCATGTTCTGAATCACACTTATCGTGCCATCCTGTGCGGAGCGGTGACGGAGATGCATTGGCAAAGATGATGAAAGCAGGAATCTAAATCCTAAAATTCGATGCCGGATGTGGTGGCTTGGCTCTCATCTGTGATGTTGTGTGGTGTTGTGATTCTGCTCCCCGCGGCCGAGTTGGGTGTTGTTAGTCATATAATATCACTCGGCTTGCGCATCCCTTATTTAAGCATTTTCATCCGCCTTGCGTGCTACAACCACCGCTGCGCTATCCAAAGAGAAAAAATTGGACTCCCGAAGAATCACTAAGACATGGACGGTGAATATTCTTCAAATGTTGAGATTTATGATCTATCATAACTCCATAAAATACATATATACTCCAATTTTGTGTCTATAACACGTGCAGTTATCGACCCAAATCAGGTCGGCTCAATCATGGTCAAGCTCAACAAACCCAAACCTAAAAAGCCAAATAACCGTCCAAAGGCCAAAAGCAAAAAAAAAAAAAAAAAAAAAAAAAAAAAAAAAAAAAAAAAAAGTGGTCCAAAAACGCAAAAACGCAAAAACGCCCCACACAAAAAACACCAGCTATACAAAAGAAAGGCCTATACAACACAAAAGGAACGTCCAAGGAAAAGGGAAAAAGTAATCTAGACACACAATCTCACCAACTCCAACTTCCCCCTCACCACCGCCACCTCGTTCTTCAAATCCTCCTTGACACTTCCCTTCTCATCATCGCCTTCTTCCAGCTCCACCAAAATCTTTTCCACTTCTCCCACCGCCGAGAAATATGGCAATGCCATATCGAGTAAGCACACAATATGCGCGGCATACTCCTTCTTCGATACCTGGTAGTCCGTCATTGCGCCCTTGTCCTCCAGATCCCTAGCCATCTCGGTCAGCGCGTCCATGAGCCGTTTGGTAGCGGCAATAGTCTCTCGTACGCTCTCGGCACGCGAACTAATGGCGACAATATTGACGGTGAGGGTGTCGAGTTGTGTGGCGAGATGGTCGTGCGCATGCAGGGTTGCGTGGTAGTCGGCTTCTTTCTGGGTGAGGGAGGTGAGCTCGGTTTGTTGCTTTACGGCATCCTCTTCCAGCTCTTTAATTTTGGCCTCGTTGCCTTTGACGGCATCCCAGAAAGGGCCGTCGACTTTGGCGATGTTCATTCCAATGCCGATTGGGAGAAGGACCCAGCCTGAGAGTTTGATCTATTAGATGTATTAGTAAGGTTCCACTATTTTCTATCATAGATCAAAAGGTAAGAGGGTCCTACCAAGGTCTCCATGCTCTTCGCCTTCTCTTTGGTGGCCTGCGCTTCATTGAGGAGAGCCTGGCTCGTCTCTACTGCGGCAGCAGACTCCTTAATCTTTTCCTGAAGTTCCGAAAGCGTTGTCTGCACGCCATCAACCTCAGTAGTGATTTCTGCCCTCAATGAGCTGACATCTCTCTGTAGTGATGGCAGACCCGACATCTGGTGTTGATTCGCCTATCCCATCAACAATTAGTACAAGATTCCAAAATCAAACTAGCTTCAACACAGCCACAACTTACAAGCTGATAAATCTTCTCAACCAATCCTAGCGCCTTCTCCGTCCTTGTCGCCACATTCTCAAACGACCTAATCATTGGCCTCAATACCGCGTCGGGATTTGATTTCGGCACACCGCCATCTTTTACCTCCTCATCAAACTCGCCCCTGATACAACCCGCCAACTTCCCCAGCCTCAAGAATGCCACCTCAAGTTCCTGCAGAACTAAGCGCTGGTTCGATGTAACCAAATAATCCAGCTCAAATGCCGCATTGTCCATCGCCGACTGTTGGCTTGTAATCAGTCCAGCTACAGCCTGCAATTTCTCGCGCACGTCCGGCGAGATGGTAGATTCACTCTCCTCCCTCTCTCCGCGGCAAAGAGTGCCGTCGTGGTTTTGAATATGCTCGGTCAGGTTCACGCATACGGGCTTATCTGTCCATGTGCCATCTTTGCGCTGCAGGTTCGCGCTGAGGACCTTTCCATCCTGTAATTCGACGTTTTTGGCGCTGGCGCCAAAATTCATCGAGGTCCAGTCGAAGGTGCCTGCGTTGACGAGGGTTTTGTTAGAAGCTGCTGAAGGTCGACGTGAGTGAGCCGGAAATGATATACCGTCTGAATTTCCGAGGACGCCGTTGAGATCTATTGTTGAGCGGACCCAATCGCCATTGCAGGTTCGGCAGAGTGCAGAGAGTTCTTGTCGGCTGCTTAGGTTGATATATACGGATGTTTGCTGGTATGTTTTGCAGTCCATTTTGGCGCGTACTGATGTTGAATATATATTACTGATGGACGTGGGATTGTCAAGCAGGCAAGGTAAAGGCGGGCACGCTAGTTGATATAGATGATTGATAGACTCCTTTGTGATAAAAAAAGATCGAAGCTCCTTAATTGGTATGTAATTATGCACTTATAATTTTGATATGATTGAACCAAAGGGAGGAAAAGAGAGGAGAAACCCATCCCCTCTAATACTCGAGAAGACTCTACCCCATACAAGCAAGTAATCGTGATCATCGATCCCAAAAGGAAAGAAAAAAGGAATCTAGCCTTGGTCGGATCTAACCCTCGACGCTGAGTTGTTCATTAGCCACAGCCACACCTAACCATCCGAACGAATGGGAGCTGCCTACGTTACGCATCCTGCAAGAATCCCATTGGGAATAGGCCAGCGAGCGAGGTTTTTACGATAAAGCTGCATGCAGGCAGACGCGTTGCAGCTCTTTCTCTCACCCTTCCCACGACACGAACAGATGGCGCCTATCATGCGAAGAGAATGGACGAACACGTTTACCAAAGTTTCCCACCCCTCCTTTTTCACGAATTTTGCCCCTCTTTTAGTTTTCCAGACAGGGGGAATGATTCGGTCTGACGCCTTGAACTTGCGTTTCGACTCTTTGACTCTGCCGAAGAGGGTGGGGTGCCGCGAACCGTTGCGGCTCTAGAACTGTCGCTGGCTAAATGGGGAAATATGTCGGCTCACCACCATCGAAGTTTTGTTTCTTATCATCGTTGGGGTACCAGAGGATTCGATAGGATGGTTTCGATTGTATTAAGCTAACTGATTGGGTATTAAAGGCACCAGTAGCCTGAAACGATCCTGAAGAGCGATCTTGAGTATGGTCTTTGAATAGACTGACTGTGAGTATCTTGGTTTCGATACTTCAGATTCAAACTCAAGCCCATTCGAAACGTTGATCCTCTCAGGTCTAAAAATGCCCTGATCCGCGTCGCGTATCTAATGGGAGTTCCCGATTTCTCTGACAGACTAAAACACGAGTGATAGCATATGATTCGCCGCGCTGGCTCGGCGTGAACTAGCCCGTTTCGGCGCCAATAGGTCGTAAAAGAAGTGGCTGAGTGTCTAGCTTGTAGGTAGACCTTCAGGTTCTCAAGTGAGTCAGGAAAGTTCATGTTCCTTGCTTCAAAAGTATGTAGTTCACGGAGGTACAGCCGTCTCCGGGAGATGTACATACATACGGGTACTCTCCGTGAGAGCCATTTCTTTCAAGGCGGCTCGATGTGGAACCGGCTATTTTGGGATTGAGGCGTTAAGTGGTCGTCCAGTCATGCCCTTGGATGTAGATCCTATGTACCGGGATAAAATGAACGGGGGTAAATACCTCCATGTTCCAGTTACACCTTGTTCCGACATCTCAGCCCGGGGTATATAGAGAAGGCACTCTGGTATTGTAGCCTATGCTATGTATACGTATTTACAATCGCCAGAAACGCGCTTAGGCCTTCCAGTAACCCGTGAACCGAGTAGATCCAGATGCAGAGCAGAGTAGGCGTACCAACGAGTGCCCAGTGCCGTCCAGGGCAAGAATGGTACCATGAACCAAGTTTACTTGCATCGACGGTGATGGTGATATGACTCTTGGTGATATGGAGTCTTTGCTGTCACTCCTCTGATGCGGAAGTTCCAGGAGAGGATAAAGATGAGCAAGAGAAGTAAGAGCTCTTATGCATTTTACTTTCCTGCTCCAGAGTACATGGCATTGTCTCCTCTAACCTTATTTCCCGATGCCCTGCGCAGCTCATGTGTGCTCAATGCTCATCCCCCCATCTCCCAGCGCATTCCCCCAGACTGTCAAATGCACCCGAAAGAAAGCCTTCCGCTCCGCATTCCTTTGTAGATGACGTGTCGATTTCTCGGTACGGGTTCCTCAGTGTGCAGCTAGATAAGTACCGCGGTTGAGGCTGGGTTGCAGTTGGAAGGCTTCAACGTCCCAAAGTGGTTACCTTACAATGTTCCATTCTAGCCATTTACGTGCACGGTCACAATATCTCACTCGGAGTTCTGGATTTGTACCCCCTGGAGGCAATTTCGTCGATCCACAGAGCTGTAATGAGACTATATCGAAGCGCTCCTACAGCTGAGATGCTATGATAGGAATTCAAATAGATCTTGCTTTTAGACAGTCCTACATAAATTTCAACTCGATGAGGCTTATGTGTGGTTTGATGTGCCCATGGGTTAATATTAAAGTACTTAAGCCTATAGCTATGGTTTCTCATATCGAGGTCTGACACATGGCTATCTAGCTAGCTAAAGCTCCCAAGGTCATACCCTATTTCGTTCTTCCAAAAGCCCACCAATATCGTCATTTCTAGCGGAGCGTATACGATTTCTAGATTTACATCTTCTTAAATGCAAAAAAGAAAAAAAAAGAAAAGGAAAAAAACGCAAAGTCGTAAATACACATTACACATTCGTCGATGATTATCTAATTAGACTACGTGGGCTTCTCGTGCACTTTGCGTCCTTTAACCCACACCTTCAGCACATTTCTGTCGTCGCCCGAATATAACCACTTCGCCACTATTTCCTCCCAATTCTCCCAACCAAAGAGATCAACTGGAGTCATACCTCCGCCTACAGTCTGTTTCGCCTGTAGTAGGTCCTCATCTTCGTCGCACTCTTCTTCATCAGGTACGAACGTGCACCCCACCAACAGCGCATCCCACTCCATCCCGACCTCAAATGCACCCACCGTCTTTTGCAGCCCCAGGACCTCCGCGCCTCCTCTTGTAGCAAGATATAGCGCTTCTTCCACGCTCAGCTTTGCCTCCTCGCCCTCCGTGAGAGACACAAACCGACTTGTCATTGTCGCCTGCCTCGCGGCCTCAAGCACAGACGGCGAGTATCCCCCACTCACATCCGTCCCCAACCCCACAACGATGCCCTCATCCAACAGCCTCCTCACCTTCGCTGCACCCGAAGTCAACGCCGCGTTCGATACTGGACAATGGCTTATCTTCGAGCCCCTCATCTTCACGAGTGCAATCTCATCATCTGTAAGATACACAGCATGCGCCAACACCGTCTTCTCGCTCAACAGCCCAGCACGGTCGTATACGGTCGCGTAGTCCTTACATTCGGGGAACAAGTTAGCAACCAACTCTATCTCGCCCTTATTTTCCGAGATATGCGTCTGGCATAGCAGGCCGCTCTGTGCCATGAACTCCCCAAGCCCACGCATCAGCTCACGGCTACAGCTCGGCGCGAACCTCGGCGTGATGATGCTCTGTACGAGCTCGCCCTTGGGATCTAGCTTCGCGCAGAACTCCGCGCACTTGATGGTATCGGCGAGCGACGTGGCGGCATCGGTATCGCGATAGTAATCGGGGGCCATGCCGTCCATGCAGCAGCGTCCAACGAAGGCGCGCTGCCCGGCGGTGTGGCAGGTGGTCGCGAGAATATTTGTAGAGGTGACATCGCGCGTTGCGTAGTATGCCGCTGTAGTAGTGCCGTGGGAGAGGGTCCGGGCTACGCAGCGGGAGTACACTCGGTGCGCCTTGGACGGTTTCGCGAGGGAAGCTTCGAGGGGGAAGGTATATGTGTTGAGCCAATCGAGTAATGTCGATTTGCCGAATATCCCGGAGTTTGGGTATTGTGAGGCGTGGATATGAGTATCTAGAATGACAGAGGCTTAGTTAGCAGCTACTCTACTGGGTTATCTATCTACGAGCTGTCCAGGGAAGAAGAATTGCATCTTACCAATTAAGCCGGGAAAGAAGAACTGCCCTGGCCCAGCCTCCACGATGGTTGTACCAGCCTCTTCCGCCCACATCTCAAGCATGCTAGCTTGCACTGGATGCTCCACCAGTAGGATTTTCCCCGACTCGTCGTCCACCGCCACCGCAGAGCGCGTTAGGACCTGCAGCTCTGCCAGCGACACTGAATGTATGAACGTCCCGACGTAGATCGTCCTCTTTAGTACCACTGATTGTATCGCCATTTTTACTCTGGGTATAATTTTATGTCTGGAGAGGTTTGTTGTGCAATTACAATGAGACGGGACGCAAGCAAGAGACGGGGGGGATGGGAGCCAACAGGTATGTATTTAAACCCTTCCACGTTTACTAAGTATCTGGCTAGATGCCGGGCATCTACATAGATAGTTGTAGATTAGGTTGTAGTGCCCCTGCAGCTTCGCCAGACCGGGTATCTAGAGTAGCTCTTGGTTGAGCTATCAACTGGCACGAGCCGACGGAAGCCGGCGGTCTCGGCGTTCGCCGGAGACCCTGGGAATGATCGGCGGGCTTATCCGCTGGATAGGCCCCAACAACTGATTTAGGAGAGTCAATAATATCATGTGGGGTTTGCGAAATGGTAAGAAACAAGACTCAGCTCGTACACACTGGCCAAGGGTGGGTACGCTTATCTCTAAGCAGTAAAGAGTCGGGGAAATGATTCAGTGTTTTGGCTAAAATATCATTTTAATTCGACACCTTACATAACTTAGTATTACTATGATATCATATGTAACTACAGCACTCATAGAGTAATATGGTAAGAGAGATGGCTGATAGTTCCATGGTAGGAAGAGGCCGAGAATGAAAAGCTTAAAGAGAATCATCGCCTATAACAGTACCAAAAAGTGGGTTCCAGCTAGAATGCTGTTTAATCCCGAATTTCTACGTAATCACATTACTCTAATCTACTCAGAAAGAGCGAGACGATATTCACTTCACAACCCCAAACCAAGAGTAGAATATCAATTTCCTATTAGGCTCATAGTTATAGAGACCCTACAATAAACGCCAAATGCATAAAAAAAAGGTATCATATAAATCAACGTGCCCTCACCCCCTCAGGCATTTAAACACTGGCCCTCCTTGGTGCCATCGTCGTCCTCCTCAAGCCCCTACCCACCTGCCCAGTAGCACTCTCGTTCGGCAGCATTCCCTTCGCCTTGATATCCTCCAAGAACTTCTTCCCATACTCATAACCAACTCTATAAATTTCATCAAACTTTGCAAAGTCAAGTGTCCCGTATGCGTCGATGGGGGGCCGCATGTAGATACACCCAGGAATCAGCTTGGCCCGCTCTAGTGCGTCCACGCTAGAGACATAGGCGAGACGGGCTTGAATCTCGGCCAGCGTCGGCGGGTTAGCGTGTGGTGAGAAGGGGTTCCATCTATTCATCTCATTAGAAGGTTCATCAAAGTCAACTGTAGACCAGCAAGACCTACCTATTGAAGAACGCCCAAAAGCCGCTCAAACTGTCTCCGAACTGCTGTGGTGTGTTATCGTCGATACTGCCAACATCGACAGCAAAGATGACATCTGCACCCAGGCTTTTCATGTGCGCAACAGTGAGGTTATCGACATAGCCACCATCCAGAAGCATATCACCTTCATCACACAAAGGTGGGAGAAGACCGGCGAGTGACATGGAGGCACGGATGTACCGCCAGGCGTACCCGGAGGTGTGTATTTCCATCCGGGACTTGGAGATGGAGGTGGTGTTGCAGTAGAATTCGAGCCAGAAGTCCTCAATCTGCGAGTTTCCAAAGGTCTTGAAAATACCGCGGTTGAACTCGTGGCCGGTGGTGTAGGATACGCTACAGGCAGAAGAGTTAGTGGTCTGTATGATGGGTCTACTGACCATACACATGGAGTACTTACGATGGATATGTCAAGTCCAAGACAAATCTCCACAAACTTGCCATTCTCCCCGCGAATTTCTTCGCGCGTCCCAGGACGGGTACGATATCAGCATCTCTTGAGTAAAGAGCCCCGACGAATGCACCAATACTCGTTCCACCAACGATATCGATAGGGATTCCTGCCTCTTCTAACGCTCTGATTACACCCACTTGTGAAATACCTCTGGCACCTCCGCCACCAAGAACAAGACCAATAGACTTTCCGCACAATCTTCTCGCTAGTCTATGGAAATCGCCCTTAACAGGTGTCTCGGAAGAATAGACTGGCGTATTGCGTATCCGCCTGGAGGTGTATTTAGTGATCTCAGCTTGCAAGATCTGGACTCGCTGCTTCAACGCACTAAACTTCTTGACTTGTGGATGGACTGGCTCTGGGGTGGTCCTGAACGCCATCTGGATGTGATGGTGTCCGCCGTTAACCCACATACGGTTCTTAAGCCATGTTCTTGTCAATCCGGGGGTGCAATATCTCTCTACGTGTAATAGTACTAACTCTTTCCTCGCCGTTGTTTTCATTCCTACCAAGAACTTCTCGTACTCACCGATTGCAGGATTGCCTTCAGCCAATCCTACTAATAGAATGCAATCTGCTTGACTGATACAAGTCTGTGTCCATGGAGCATTGACAGAGGTATCAGCAACGTAGATGACCATTCCATATCGCTCCTCGAGATCAGCAAGATAGCCTTGAAGTTTAAGCTTGCCCATGCGGCTGAATGCATGACGGCCAAGGTGGTTGAGAATTGCAGTTTGATTCAAGACCGTTACACCATTGGGGGCACCAATCTGTGTGAGTGCGTTTGAGAGACGGTGCGAGAACTCGCCAACCGGCACACCTGCAGTGATAGGCAACACACAGACTGTCCGTAGGTTCATTGTGGAAGAAACCTTTTTTACTGCAGAGCTCCCGGTACGTTCAATGCCTCTACGTTGTTCTGAAAGCGGATCGTCAACTAACGCCCTCATCCTTGACGCAATAATCTTCGAAATTTGAATTGTGATTCCTGGATGTTCTAGTGCAAGACTGTTAAACAGAGACTTCGGAAATTTGGCGATCTCAGTATCGCGAATGGCATGGAGTGTAGCCGGACGGGTTGTCTCGGTCATGACCTCTAACTCGCCGACACTCTCTCCCTGACCGAACTCTCCGACAACCCTCATTTCCCCATCTTCATTCTCGAGTATCGCCCTCAAGCGCCCATTGAGAACAATATAAATCGCATCACTTGGGGATGTTTAGCAAATGAACCTTGAAAAATAGCGGCCGGAAAAGGAAACATACCTCTCATCACCCTGGTGGTAAATGACCTGACCAGCATTAACTTGCAACCACTCAAGTGCGAAGTCGATGTGCAAAATCAACCTTGGTAGAAGACTCGTCAACCTCTTCGCCATCGTAAGTAAGACAACTGGATGCCTCTCGACAATCCTTTCCAGCGCCGCTCTCGGCAAAAAGCCCACATATACATCGGTCTTAGCTCTAACGTCTATGAAACTTCTATAACTGCTGATGGAACCAATGTATCCCGCAACTCCACCAGGCTTAATCATAAACAAACTTTTTCTACCCAACTTTTTCCCTCTCCCTATTCCTGATGGGCGCTGACTTGAACTGCTGGCAAATGAGCTTTGTCTCTTTAAAGGTGGTAGGCCCAAATCAGCTCCAAGAGAACCAATATTCATTGGTGTGCCACTGTTTCCTCCTCCCAAGACACTTCCACTGTCTTTCTCGTCAACCGGGATGGACACATCAAGGAATCCATCAATAACATAATACAATCCTGGGTTCCTCTCACCCTGCTCCACGAGCACTGCACCTTTGGGGAAAAACACAATCTCAACGTCATCCTTAAGATCAGCGTGTATGCCACTGATACCTCCACTGACGAATCCACTTGTACTGGCGCCACTAACACTGGTACTGGCAATTGAATCAGTTTCTCCATCGTGGGACCCGTCATAAGCGTCAAAATGGCCAAATGCATTTGTGAACACTGCCTTTTGGCGCATGGAATCATATGATACCAGACGTGGTGATTGGTCGCCAGATTCAGTTCCGGTGATGGTATTGATTGTGGATCCCGTTAATCCAATCGCTTTGAACATACATTCCAAAACCGCTTCACGGAATACCATATCCTCATTTTCAGTTCCATCTGGCATAAACTTTGCAGCCCTTTTCGAAAACGGGTTAAAAGGCCGCTCTCCAGCCCCTAGAGTTTCTGCATCTAGCCCGGAAGGTTGAGATACAGTCCAGCCCTGGGAGAACGGTGATATCTGGTTTGCAATCGAAAGACTGCCGTAAAATTTGGGCCGTAATGCGGGTGAACTTGGTAGATCGACTGGCTTATTCCTCAATGGCGAAGAAGCGGTATCTAATGCCGGCGATGGGATACCTCTAGCAGCGGCAAGGCGGGCGTGAACTGCCGCCTCTTTGCGCAGAGAACTACTGGATCTTCTTCTCCTTGCTGCGGCAGCACCAGGATTATGTAAAACAATTCCTTTCATTGAATCCTCCAACTCTGCGCGTTCTTGCTCGCTCTTAAACTTTTCTTTTAACCTGTCAAGAGCCCCACCGCGCAGGTGGTTTGGAAGCTCATACATAGTGTACCTATTCATGAATTTTTCGGTCCGTAATACCTCACTGGTCAGGCCAAGATAATTATATCCTGTTAGGAACGTAACCCTCTGGAACCTTGTAAGAATAACTTGGACGATATGGGCCGTGGCTTTAGGATATATCCTTGTGAGCCTTCTAAACGCGCTCGCTGGGATGACTGCGATAGTCGTATCAACTGTAGCTCGGGCCACAATATCTGGATGCACAGATTTCGATTTCTTCATTCGTGGCCTCTGTGGTCTCTGCGGTTGGGGGGGAGGATGATTATGTGACTGACCCTCTCCGGGAGTAACAGGTCTCGAAGTATTTCTCGAATCTCCACCCCCATTCAGTGAAAACGGGGGAACAGGTGCCATTCTCGTCTGCTGATACCTTCCAGTACTAATGTCCGCTGTATCATACGGATTCAGATCACCAGCGGACTGTAGGTTTACCATACTACTACTTGTGGACATATTCCCCTCATCTTCATCTTCGTGCCGCAACTTCACGTCCTCAGTGAATAAGCTTAGGATGGTAAATAAACTACTCATCGGCGCGCCATTCTTCACCTCTGTGAGGAGTTGGTAACCTTGACCATCTTCCAAGGTTTCCTCTTCCTCATCGTGAAATGCCCCGCCATATCCAGCCGGTCCCGCATCCGCCTCCATGGCGGCAGTGCGGGCGGCTTTGACAAACACCTGAACAAGACCATCAACGACGATACAAAACCCTTTCTCCTCCTCGAGTAGCAATGTTTCTCCTAGTAATCCCGGGTTTCAGTACTTCGCTCAGCTAAGACCAGATGGGAATAGAATATACCAGCAAGCAGTTTCCTTGTCTGCATACTCCTCGTGAGTTCATGGAATACGGGCCGTTCCAGATACCCAAAAACCTTAATCGCACTTAAGAATTCATCTAGATAGTTGCTCAGTCCTGGCTTAGAGTCCCCCTCTTGGCTATCCGGGAACAAATCGATTTCTGGCTCCTTTCGTTGCGGCTCGTGTGGGAGACGGTTGTAGTTGTAGAGTAGCCGGTAACGGACGGCCCATGACACTATCGATCCAAATAAGAGTAGTATAATTAAGCTATATTCATCTCACAAAGATCAGTATTTTTTATCGTTTTTGCTGAAGTGATACGAGCTTAGGGTCCAAGGGAACAAACAGCGTCGTAAAGTTCATGGTAAACGTCAAGCTCGTACTAAAAAGCGTAAATAACCATGTTGGAATAGTATAGCCGCTAAAGCTAATGATCCAAAAGCTGATTCTCTGGAGTAGGTATGCTGCGCTATATATCAGCGATACCGAGAGCCAAAATATACTCTGTTGTGTTGAATCGTGCACCACATGTGAAGTCGTGAGGTCTCCCGTCGCGTTAGCGGTAGATGTGGCGGCGGCGATAAGGGAAGACGTTAGTGTGTTGGCCAGTTCGGCCATGGTTAGTGCGGTATGTCGTTCTCTTGTTTATTTCTTGGGAATGTTGGAGATTTTTGAGGACGAAGCTCAAGGGAGTTACAGTAGTCGTCTTGAGGCTCTGTGGGGGGATCCGGAAGGGATTGTAACACGGGTCATGGGGGGATTTGAGACACGTGCAACTACCTCTTCCCCGCTGTCCTTAGCTACCTGTCTTGGAAACATTAAATTGGAATCCGGTGGTCTACTAGAGTATTTCGACTTGAGGAATTACTTTTACTTTGCTGATCATCGGATAGGTATCGAACAAAACGCTTTTGGAGTGTTTCCCGAGGTTGAAACACCACGTTGAAACTTCTTTGCCGGTGACGTCACGTAGGGCGCACAAGCTTCAGAGATGAGCTCTTCGGTTCATGATTTCTCACTCGTATGCAAGGCATGTGTGCATATAAGCTTATCCCCGATACCTTACCTTCGGGGGATGATTACATGTAAGTATATGTATGCTAGAAGCGAAAAACTAAAAGAAGCGTTACATGTACTTAAGCTTATGCTATCTCTATCCGAGCCAGGCACATGTACATTGGGGGTTGTATATTCAGTGGGCATTAAGATAATGTGGATTGGCCAGTGATATTCTGCCCCGTTTTCTATAGGACAGCCAAGTACAAGGTCTATCGTAGAAAACGAAACAGATAGTTTGTGTTTGAAGACCCTTTGATTTGAGGGTCTGGTCAGATTGTGAGAGCCTTTTGTCTCCATTATCTTCCTAGGTTTCTTTACTGCCCATACATACACAGGATGTATAACCTACATGTATAAAATTCTAGTTTATAGGGCTCATCTACAAAGATTGGATCTAAAGCCCCCTAAGTTGGACCTCCCTAACTTCCCTAACATCAGCGTTTTTATACTCCTCCTTCTCACCCCTAACCTTCTCGGCCATCTCTACGATGATTCCAAACGCCCTTTCTAAGTGCTCTTTCCTTGTCTTGGGGCTAGCCCCCACCACACGTATCATGTAGATGTCATCTACAACACCACTTGTGATAAAGATCTTGCCCTCTTCGTTTACAGATTCATAAACAGTCTTTGTAAGCTTATTCCTCTCCTCTGCCCCACCGCCATTCACAGGGTTGACCACAAATACGGTCAAAGCAAATGCCGGGGGTGCAATGATAGTGAATAGATCTGACCGGGATTTGATAAGCGAGGTAAAGTGCTCGCCAATGGAAATAATATTGCGAACATGGTGTTGGAGACCGGACACTCCATATGTTCGCATCACAAACCAAATCTTCAGGGCACGGAAACGACGTCCGAGCGGAATCTGCCAGTCACGATAGTCGGTAACACGACCGGAAGCAGTGAAGGGGTTGCGAAGATAAGCGGGAGTTATTGAAAGAGCATCAAAGAGGTGCTCGCGTTCTTTCACATACAGGCAACTTGAAGTTGATACGTTAACAAATACTTAGATCTGAGTGGAAATGGGAAACAAACCTGCAATCGAAATTTGTGAGCAGCCATTTATGCATGTTCATGTCGAACGAGTCGAAGTTCTCAAACCCAGCTGTGAGGTGTTGAAATTCTTCACATATCAGCGCAGCTCCAGCATACGCAGCGTCAACGTGGACCCAGATTTGTGGATAATCTTTCAAAACCTCTATGATCTCTGCAAAATTATCAACCGCACAGGTTGAAGTAGTTCCGAGTGTAAGTGTTAGGTAGAAGGGCTCCAAGCCCTGTTCCTTGAGCTCCTCGAGTTTTTGACGCAATAATGGACCAGTGAGAGAATAGTTTGATATTGGAGAACCAGCTACCTTAATTGAGCGATGTTTGACACCAGCGATTTGGCAGCCCTTCTGTGTTGACGAGTGCGCTTGATCACTAAAAATCGCCACGAGCTTATCTCGGTGGGCGTCAATTATTTCCTCCTTCTTTTCTTCCGTCTTAGCCCCTGCAGATAACATTTTAAGATATCTGTCCCGAGCCGTAACAACAACCGTAACAATCGCTTCTGAAGCAGAACCCTGGATGACACCCCCACCACCATTGGGAGACGTTGAAAGATAGCATTCGGGGAGATTGAGAAGCTTGCATAACCAGTCAAGAACGATTGTCTCCAGCTCTGTTGCAGCTGGAGAGCACAACCAGTTGAAATTTGCAGAGGTAAAAGCTGCTGAATACAGTTCGCCGAGGATTCCTGGGTAGCTTGAGTTTGCGGGAAAGAAGGCGAGGAAGTTGGGCGATTGCCTAGAGGTTTTGTTAGAGCCTTGTAATTTCTACTTCTTGGCCGAATCTGGGACAGGACAAGTAATTACCAATGTGTTATACCAGGTATAATTTTCGACTCGATGTCCTTCTGAATCTCAGCCCATACTTCCCCATCGACAGGAGGGCCATCTGGGAGGAGATTCTTCAGATATCCAGGTTCAACGCCAGACAAAACTCTGCGGTCTTCAATGGTATCATAGTAACCGATTACTGCTCCAATTATCAGTTCATGTTGCGGTTTACTATCAGGGACCAGGCTGGGTACAAACTCTGGTCAATCGCGGAATGTGCCGCAGCGCGAAACTGAGAAGAATCCATGGGTTTAAGAAGTTATGCAGGGAATGAATTTCTAGCGTATGTAGAGTTAATCTTGGGAGCCTCTCACAGCCGTGTTGAGGGCTATGGTGGGTCTTTTATGGAAAATTATGGACCTTCCATCTCTGCACGAGGCTCAAAAGTAGAATAAGCAGCCCTCGGCGGCGCCGTCATGCTCTTCAATTTTTAGTACTGAAGCCGAAAGACGCCGCATCCGTCACCCGAAACTACTCATGCTAGCTAGGCCTTCGACAGGGTTTATTCTTAAGGATTTGAATCTCACGATCGTGTTGATTCGGTTGATATATCCTTTTCCCTGGTGTTTTTCTTTTTCCTTTCTTTTTTCCCGACCGTTCCGTTCCTATATACGTACGTCAGAACCCGAAGTTTGTTTTTTCTGGCGCCGTTTGTTTCACTTACCCTGAGACAGACAGCTGCAAAGCCACAAACGGTCTTCAGTACAGAGCCGAAGAGCCTCCTCCTGTTCCTCCTCACCTCATCCGCGTCCTCCTTCTCTTCCTCTTCAGGCTCTTCCTCATCCTCCATTCCTCGGCTTGGCTGCCACATACTCCTAGCGAATCCATAGACAAGTTACACATTGCACTTATCACTATCGTGAACGGACAGGTAACAGCACTTATGATACACGCCCGCTACAAGACACTCTTCCGCTTCTGCCCTTCTCCCTTCTCCCGCCGGCTGTTGTGTTCAAGACCTGCCAATCGAGCCCCCGCTATGGACACCACCACACCCACCCATGGGCCATCAATCCATCCCACCCCCCACCATTCCCTGCTTTCTGACTGCATGTATCCACTCTTAGAGTAGAATATCACCTATGAGATACATACCTACATGCTTTTGTAAATAACTTAACACACCACCCCTGGTTCATACAGAGAGGGGCTGTGGGTATCATTAATGCTAGGGAGGGGTAGACCCAACATGGAAATCATCATCATTATTATAAACGCGGTTGAAGTTATCGCCATGCAGATAGTGTCAGCATTGAAAGCTTCTTAGACATAGAATAAATAACTTCAATTCCCCCCACCCCTGGGCCGCCTCTTTCCTCTTCTCTAGTAATCGTATCCCTTGGTTGCAGTTCTCCATCGTTTCTCCTCTTTGGTCCTAGAGTCCCCTTCCTCGTACTCTATCCTTTAAACTTCAACCTCCACAAGCTTCAGGTCCCATCTCAGGCATCCCAGCTCAGATAAGCTGTACACTCGCTAGTTAACATTCCCTGACTCCTATCATCCAAACAGCCACAATGCCCCCAAAAGCAACTGCCAAAATCAACGGAAAGGTCATCGCCGAGTCGGACGAATACGAGACTGTCGAGGGAAATATCTACGTAAGAGACCTCCTACAGCTTCCTAGAACTATCACTGCTCTTATCGCCAAAATATGTTTTTATAGCTAATAGATGATTTGAAATTTACAGTTCCCGCCATCGTAAGTGAAGCTGCATTCACTGCAATTCAATGAGCATTGCGGCCGAGGATTTACTGACCAATACTACAGTGCTATCACCCGGAGCTTTCTCACTCCTTCAGACACAAATACCATCTGTGGATGGAAGGGAACTGCCTCATATTACAATGTAGAAGTTGATGGTACGCATCTTGTCTCCTCTCCCTCTCATCTGGGCTTCCATTGCCACCGTTCGTTTCTTAATTGTGTCTGCTGTGAATAGGTGTATACATTAAGGACGCCGCGTGGTATTATCCGGACCCCAAAGACAAGTTCAAGCCGTTCAGGAATTATGTGGCGTTCTGTATGTATGCCCCGCTGATGCTCCACCTGAAGAGGGTCCCCTTTCGTTTGCGTTAGTATCCTCCTCCGTCACTTTTTTTTCTTTTTTTGTTTCCTATTATCCCTTCTGTCATCCCAATTTTGGTTTCACAACGAATCTCCGCTCCTGTCGAGTGGGGAACCTCTCGAAGAGAGGTTTCTTCCTCCCCACCATATACACCCCATTTACTCCTTTCATGGTCGCGTTAGTTGACTTTTACCCGCCGCGCACTTTGATGCTTGGGGTGACCGTTTGCAGGAGCTGATAAATCGCACTGGGGCCTGGGGAGGACAGATAAAACCAAGGCTGTCATTGAGTCGATACCGGAGTAACCCGAGGGCAACAACGCCCCATGATTCCTTGCGTTTGGAGCAATGTTTCCGAAAACGTCTAGGATGGAATTAAGGGGGTTTCGGCGGAAAAATAAAATAAAAATGAATTGTTCGGGAAATAGTTAGTAACGGATGGGAAAAGAAAGCTCGTTCGATGTTTTCATGGCGATAACCAGATAGATGGTATCGGTGGTTATGTATTTTTCCTATTGGGTTTGGGTTTCATGGCTGGGGTTAATTCTTGTTTTGCTTCCGCAATTGCTTCTTGTTTGGAGCAGTTTTCTTTGGCTATATTATTTCTCGTTGAGCTTTGTGATACCGGCTGATGATCTCAAGCTCTAAAATATTTGAAAGAACCGTTCCGAATATAAAGTTTTAACACCGGTACTGAAGTTCCGTGATTTTATGTTCATGGCGTCATTGACAGCAACCCGCACAAGGGATGAGTGCATAGTGGTAAGACATGCAGTGCACAGTGCCAGCTGAATTTGCTGCAGTACTCTTCTAGAAAGCTTGAAACGGGGGTAGAAACCACCCCGGTGTGGTGTGAATCATGCTGTGTAGCGGCCTAGGCGGGAAGCTTATGCGGTGTATGTATGTATGCCCGGCCAAGAACAGCTGTTATCAGTCATTATCACGCACCTTGGCATCGACACCCTAGGACAAGTTCGGTACCAGTATTATTAGTTAATTATTAGGACACCGGAATTAAACAAAAAAATTTCTCGAAACTGAATTTAAAGCCTAACGCGCGTGCCATGCTACTAGAGTATGGGCAAGGGACAAACGTATGACTCTGTTTGACGCCTACATGCTCACAGGCGTTGCCGCACAGCATAGCATGGACCGGGCTTCTTGCGAAAATAGAATCCGTGCGAATGCCTAATTATAATTAATAAGGACTCGGTTGAGACCTAAACCCCTGCCCCTAAAAAAATAGATGATAACGCTGATACAATATTTGATAGCATTGAAGATAGGCTTAGAAGACAATAGGACCAGGTAGCAAAAGACTATCGATCATTGTCCCCATAGCTATCCCGAGATCAAAGATAACATGGAGGGATTTGGCGAAATTATGTTTATAAAAGTTAATTTTGAGCTAAATAACTCACAATAGGATTCAACGGCCGCGGTGCAACATCAAAACCATTCAAAAAGAGGTTATTCCGATGAGATCTGGCTTTCTAACCCCACACCTTATATAAAGTCTTGTTATATTTGTTGAGAGAATAAGATTTGAAGTCCACGTTGTGTTACACTTGTTGTTAAATCTAGGAACCGCATAAAAAGCTTAATTATTCTAGTAATAAGTACAAAAGGCACTAATGTAGAAGTTTAATATACGTGACACAGAGCACAAACAACGCACATTTATGTACTGGAGTCCGGAACAGAATTAGTGGGCTGGGGCCTGGAGCTAGGGGAATTGTCGTGACTTGTGAGCGAGCAACCCTTGTCCCGCTATACTTTAATTAGATTTATCAAACATATAGTAGCCTTTAGCTTTGTGCAACAACCCTATCCAATATTGTTAAGGTACTCTTTCAGGATAAATACTTAATCGCTTTGTCATTAGGAATATTGCCATAGTAATATGAAATCTGCCAAGGCCGAGTGATATCTCATGAGTAAACATCTTCTCATGACATGCCCCATCAAGGCAGAATTTTGGACAACAGAAAGATATAATAAAAACAGTTATAATTATAAGATTTTGCGGAATTGTCCTATATATTGTCTTTTTATTCGTTCTTGCAATAAATATATGTGGACATACATGCGCCCAAACCTCCAAAACACTGTCCTTCTCTAAAGTCTAGTGACATAAAAGCTACGCAATAGACTTTTCTAGTCGTCTTGAACGTATAGCTACCACATAGCTTAATACTCACCGTCACTCTGATCATCTTCATCCTTGAAGAATCCGCCTCTAACGATAAACTTCTCAAAATCCCTCCACCCTGGCTCATCGTCTTCTTCTGATCTCTCTTTCACCCTGGATCTTCTCTCATCGAAGTAGACAAAATCGTTCAGCTCAAATCCGTCCATCTCGTCTTCGAAAATCTCAGCCATACATTTCAGTAGGTCGTTATCTAGGCGACTTCCAAGTTGGTCCTCCACCAATACTGGAAATAATGCAAGGTACAATACCGTGTCCTGCCATTTACCGTGTGCATCTAGTGGATGTGCTTGTGAGATGGGATGTTCCAAGGTTCCTTCATACACCTTTCGGAATAGTCCGTTGAAAAACCACAATATGAGGAGAAAGTTGAGGCCACTAAAGGGGACAGGACCAGTGAGATCAGACTCGAGGTCTTGCTTAATTGCAGAGAGAAACGAAGTGTTTGTTTCGCGGAGGTGCCGTTTTCCTTTATAACCTGACACCAACTGTTGCTGGGCAATGAGGGCTGGAAATTTTGTACGGTCTACTTTATCGGGTATCCAGTCTGCGTCCCCAAGCAAAGCGAGCTTAGATAGTTCGTCAAAAGTACGGACATGGCGGCGCCACATGCTGGTTTCAACACCATCATTGACCACGCCCCCGCCCTTTCGGAGACGCTTTGTCGATGGGGGAGCGAAGTATTGGGCCTTCACGCCAGAGGCGGCGTTCCAGTACTTAAAGAAGTTGTTACGAGGGCGACGACCGCCGCGAAAGACCTGATTACTGAAGATCTCAAGCAGACCCTCGAATAAAGGCATGGGCTCTTTGAGGTGTTTATTTGCAAGGAGGATGTTATAGAAGTGGAACATTGCTAATGAGATGCCTGAATTATCCCATAGAATTCTACCCCAATCGAAAACAACATTGAGTGCCTGCGCAAGACCCACCCCACAAATCCATGGACAGTACACCCATAACCCATTCCTATTGGTGTCAAGGAACCGGGATTGAAATGCACGGTGGGTCAATCGAGAGAGAAGAGAATCGCCAAGGACAATCCCAATCTCAGAAACTAATGGAGGCACATTTCTAATCGGGAATTCCCAACGTTCTGGGTCCGTTTTTTTGAATTCTTTCATGAGCAACTCAGATCCGGGGATGAAGTCCTCTTTAAAAGCCTCCATATCCTCCATGTGCCGACCTAACTCGAATGGAACCTCAGGGCCGAAAATGGTACGTTGTGATGCGATCGAAGAAGGGAGATGGAAGTGCCACTGTTTGAAAGTCGTCATGGAGTCCATCATTACCTGAACTTGGAAGACCATATGTGGCTGGATCTCCTCGATGAGAGGGCTATGTTTAAGTGACATTGCTAACTGCGTCACCTCTCCTGAGAACTCGCTGGGGCCAAACAAAACTCGCCGACCAAACTTTGCAGATTTCCAATCCACTGTTTCAAGTGGTTGCACTTGTTTATCTGCTGTCAATCGTGAAGATGCAAACTGGTTCACCATGTCGTAGAGCCACATGATAGCGAAATCGGATCTCCATTTTCTTCGTTCATCATCAGTGCACTGATGAAGATCTAAGTTGGGGTCCCACTTGAGAGCAGCAATAGGTGGTGTTGGTTTGCAATTGCGACCTTTACGATAGTCGATGATGAACGTGACAAGATCTCGATACGCATTTATCAGGCAACCTTCAGTGATATCAAGGCCGTTGAAGGCCGGCATATGCTTTGCAGCCCCACCACCAGCCTCGTTCGTTTTATCACCATTTGCCTGTGTTTCCTCTGAACTGCCAGCCGTAGTCTTGCCGGTCAGAGACTTATACTCTGCATTCCCAGGAATGAGTAAATCTATGATGGACTGGAAATTTTTACACTGTGGGAAGTCTGCAGCGATACCAAACTGCAGCTGTTTGACCATCCCTGCTGCCAGGTTGCTGAGAGCACCTGCAACGGCAGTGTTCAATGTATCATTGGCAACCTCCTGCCATACACCGGCAATGTAGCTGTTTGTATCAGTCTACAGGCCAATATCAACCATGATGTTAGATTACGATTTGATTCGCATCCAAGATCACTTCATCACAGTCACGGAGATCACACACCTCCGGAGATCAAAAAGATCCTTCATAAAGCAAAACGCAGCGAACAAAGCCTCAGAATCACTCTTAATCTTGTAATTCTCCAACCTCCGTGCCTGCGAATCTGCAGCCTTCCGTGCAGGGGACTTCCGAGCCTTTGATGGGCCTTTCTTCTGACCACTGTTCTGCTTCGGGACAATGTTCTTGAGCCACTCGTTCTGGTTCCCCCCGGGATCCTCGTTTTCGCCACCAGAAGGTATGTCGTCGATCTCGAGGCCGCCGAACATGTTATCCAGCTCGAGCTCCTTTGATTTTGGTATAGGGCCTATCTTGTTAGTTGCGGTTTCCTTGAGCTTCTGCTCCCGCTCGGCATTGCATTTGAGTTTCCATTCTAGCCCGCCGAGGGTTTCGAACGCCGCCTGGAGTGCATCGATAAATGCTTTGTGGCCCTTGTTAGAGTTCTGGGTTTCTTCAGACGGATTTGCAAAGTCTATATCAAGCCAGAAATTATATGCGTCGGTTCTAGACCGAATGACAGATTCAAAAAGGCTGTAAACTGTCGATGGCACAGCTTTCATAGACGAGGAAGAAATAAATTTCGATAGAGAAACAAGCTTGTTCGCAGTGACCTCTGGACTCGCACTGGAAGTGGGGTCATCGGTGACCGTGGGGGAAGGAGGCTGAGGCTGAGATTTTCTTCTGTGTTTGCCCTTTCCATTATTTCCATTGACTCTTTTTGTAGCTACTGGAGAAACTGGAGGAGTAGGTGGAAGAGTAGGATCTACAACTACTGAGGGTGAATCTAGTCCGAGATTCTTTGAAACATTAGTTGCTGTCGTGACGACCCAGCAGATAAGCCTAGCGGTGTTTCGTTTGTATTCAAGATATGTGTTTCGATTTGGAGGACCCATGCCGGTAGATTGTACTGCTCGTAAAGAGTAGGAGATGTTCAATTAGAGTAGATAGTATGAAGCTTTTCTGAAAGAAGATAAAGATGATTCACAAACAAGGAAAGCTGCTTAAGGTTTCCCAGATGAGGAGCTAGATGAGTTGTATTAGGCTTGGTGCAAATCTAGATTCACGTGCACAGGGTCAATGTTCTTTTTCTGGCTTGGCAGGAATTCCGGTTGCTGATCAAGAATGAAGCTTCGAAACCTCTACATACCCAATTCATTGAAACTCGATTTTCACAAAACTCACAAACAACGCGTCCCCTAAACTCCACATAACTCATCACGGTTAACACGATGGCGCCCCAGCAAGCTTCACAAACAAACACCGTCCTCGACGCTCTCGACGTAATCACCTCGCACCCGCGTCCCTTCAAGTCTCCCTCCTGGAAGCCCGCTGCCCGCCGCACCAAGACCCTCAAACAGATCCTCACTGACGCGACACGCTCCCAAACGGCTACGCAGAATAACTCCGGGACCTCCACGCCTTTGCCGCCCGCTGCGATACCCCAGCCTATCGGGGCTACTTACTCCAACATTGAGAGTGCGCCGTCGCTCCATCCGGCCCACACAAAGAAGTGGTGCGACATCACGGGGCTGCCGGCCAATTACACGGATCCGAAGACGAAGCTGAGGTACACGAATAAGGAGGTCTACTCGGCGATCAGACAGCTGCCGCCCGGCGCTGCGGATCGCTATTTGGAGCTGAGAGGTGCGAATGTCGTGCTGAAGTAAGGGTTCGAATGAGAGAGAGGATGGGGGCGTTATGGGTTGGCGTTGGTTTACTCTGCTTGTAAGATAGGGTGGGAGGAGGGGAAGTCCGTGTATAATATGTATTGCCTTTTAGAGGATTTCTGACTATGGACGGATATAATTGAAGGTTCTTGGTGCACGCTCTTAAACTGCATGTACTCTAATGCAAACGTGATACCTGAAGATACTTGTTCAGTGACCGCACTGTTGAGATGTTCTTTACTATACCATAAAGTTATTCCTGTACTTAGGAGATTCCTAAGCTTTAGGCAGAAATAAATGTTTACTGGGAAATTGTCTGAATTGTAAGCCTAGTCTCAGGTTCGTGGTGGCTGTGATGCGACGTAAACGTCTCTGCCTTAACAGCCGATTTATCCAACAGCTCATGCAATACACTTTCTTCTTAATGCTTCTAATCTTCAAATATTTCTTGTAGAAAATGCCATGCAGAGTTTCTTTGGACAGTAAATCGAATACCCCAACTGATTTTTAGAGTGCGCATAAAGGGACTCAAAGATACTCAGGCTTGGTTCTGTGGGGGCGCCCGCGCCAAGCGATCTAATCAACCTCAACAGGGTCTAGACACCAAACAAACCACTTCTTCAGCACCACCAGAACCAGCACAGATACCACCACAATACGATATGGAGAGTCCTCACGAGCATCAGCAAGGTGTGTGGCTCGTCCAGAAGCTCCACATACTGGCTAACTAGACCGTTCTTATATAGGACTTTTGTTGTCCCGTATCATCACCAATGTCGTGAGTTGTCACTCTGCAACGGAGGTTTGACATGGGTCATTGACGTTCAGATTTCCTTGTAGGAGAAACTAAACGAAGCCGTCATGGTCCTGAACACAGCTCTTCATGTAGGGCCAAGCTTGTGGCGAGAAGATTGAGGACTGTCGGTTGACTTGTAGTCCAGGAAATCAACACCAAAAACATGAATACAGAGCTTGTCGCTCAAATGTGGAAGAATTATCAATCCAACGTGCTCTTCCATCTTGAAGGTATTGTTTATTGGTAATATATCGCCACATTTGAGCCCTTACTAACAGACAATGATGCTAGCGACGGATAGCCTTAAGGAGCCTGTTTGAGACGGGCAATGATTTTGGAGGAAGCTGTAGACAGAGGTAGCAGATAAAATTATATAATTGTTTGCCTACCTGTACCTGTAGAATTCAACTTCACCGAATATCATCAAGACTGTACAATTGTTTACTGTCATCAGTATGAGCTCTAATGATACCTATCATATTCATGCGGGCTGTTGGCAGGGGTTGCCCGTTGTGGATGTATGAGGCGACTGTGATGTTTTGAGGCTCCCGGAATTCAGATTCACCACCCTCAGAGCCAGCAATCAAGCATCCACGCAACCACTATTCGCCCAATCCCTTTCATAACCCCCATCGCCTATCCTCTCAGCCCAAAAACAAGCCCATGAGATAGGCCCACCAACTCTGCACAATGCCCACTACCGCCCCCTCCTCGCGTCTCCCATCCCCTAAGCCTCCCCCGAAGCTCTACACAGTCCGCGATACACCCTCGTACACCCCCGGTGCCAGCTCCGCGGCAGCCTTCGACCAGAACCACAAACACAACGGCGAGATCGCAATCGTAATAGACAACGGTACGCGCCCCAACCCGAGCCCGCCACTCCCCCGAGCCCCAAACCCCAATCCCGCTTCCGCTAACGACCTCCGCAGGCTCATGGCAGACCCGCGCCGGCTTCTCGCACGACCCCTCGCCGCGAATCTTATGCCCGCCCCTCGTGTCGCGGTACCGCGACCGTAAAGCTCTCAAGACATACACCGTCTGCGGGTACGATGTGTTTGCGGACCCAAACTCGCGCGCGCAGGCAAAGACGCCGTTTGATGCGAATGTGGTGAGCAATTTCGACCAGATGGAGACGCTGCTGGATTACTGCTTCATCAAGCTTGGGATTGAGGGTGGCGCTTCGGGCGGTATAGGGCATCCGCTGGTCATGACGGAGGCGGTTTGTAATCCGGGGTATAATAGGAGGAGTGAGATTTGCCCCCTTCTTTGTTGTGGGGGACGGTGGTTAATGCGTGCGTGCGATATATAGTGATGACGGAGCTGGTGTTTGAGTGTTATAACGCGCCTTCTTTGGTCTACGGGATTGATTCCCTCTTCTCATATTCCTATAATGGCGGTCAAAACGGATTGGTGGTGTCCTCATCGAATACTGCGACCCATATCATACCGGTTCTCAACGGTAAGGGCATTGTCTCTATGGCCACAAGGCTGAATTGGGGGGGTTCCCAGTCCGCGGATTATATGCAGAAACTGCTTCAGCTGAAATACCCAACATTCCCGGCGAAGCTCCAGACATGGCAGGCAGAGAGCTTGATGATGGAGCATTGCTACATCAGCGGTGACTACAAGGAGGAAGTAATGACCTATCTAGATCCGGAAGTATTAGAGGAGAAAGACCGGATTATCCAATTCCCATTTGTGGAGACAATCAAGATTGAGAAGAGCCAGGAAGAACTAGATAGGATCGCAGAGAGGAGAAAAGAAAGTGGGCGGAAGCTACAAGAACAAGCTGCAAAGGCGAGGTTGGAAAAGGTAATTTATTCTCGATCACAGAATCATACTCGGCCCCGTTTACTAACAAAACTCTCTCCAGCTCATCAAAAAAGAGCAAGAACTCGAATACTACAAATCCATCCAAGCACGGGCAACCTCAGACACGAAACGAGACTTCAAACGCCTCCTGGAATCCAATGACTTCCCCTCAGAAGCCCACCTTGCCAAGAAGATTAAAGAACTTGATCTAACCATCCGCCGCGCCCGGAAACAAGACATCGGTCCCGAGGAAGAAGAGGAAGGCCCGAAAGAGTTTCCCCTCCTCGAAGTTCCCGATGAAGACCTCGATGAAGAGGGCCGTAAGCAAAAACGGCACCAAAAACTCATGAAATCCAACCACGATGCCCGTCAGCGTGCCAAAGCCGAGAAAGAGGCCGAGAAGGCGCGGATCGCGGAGGAGGCCCAGAGAGATGTAGAAAGCCGAGAAAGAGATTTGGAAGCATGGGTTGGCCAGCGCCGAGCAGCCCGTGAAGCCCTTCTTGCCAAAATCAAGGACCGCCAACGTCTCAAGGCAGAGTTGTCAGATCGTAAATCACTCGCCTCCCAGATGCGGATGAAGTCAATCGCAAACCTCGCATCCGACACCCCTGCCTCCAAGAAACGCCGTCGTGGTGTACCACCACCTACGGGCGAGGGCGGGGACGACGATTTCGGCCGTAACGACGACGACTGGGCTGTTTACCGCAATATTGGTACTGGAGGTGACGAAGAAGACGAGGAAGAGGAGGAGCTCAACACCGCCCTCAAGAGCATTGAAGCCCAGTTACTCCAATTTGACCCCGAATTCGACGAGAATGATACCCAAGACGCTCAATCCGACTGGAGCAAGAGCATGCTTCACGCATTCTTGCGGGGAACTCGACCATTCGACGTCGATAACCAGGCAGAGGCCAATCAGTTCCATCTTAATATCGAGAGGATCCGAGTTCCGGAGGTTGTATTCCAGCCCGCAATGGCAGGAGTGGACCAGGCAGGTATCATCGAGATTGCGAGCGACATATTACTGCACCGGATATCAAATCCCGAAGACAGAGACAAGGCGCTAAAGGATATCTTCCTGACCGGCGGGAACTGCATGTTCCAAGGCTTCCAAGAGCGCCTTGAGAAGGAATTAATGGCCGTCCTACCCTACGGTTGTGGGTTAGGGGTGCGAAAAGCCAAGGATGCAATCGGGGATGCCTGGCGGGGCGCGGCACAGTGGTGCAGCAAGACCGAGAAGGACGCTGAGTGGAAGAAGGCTATCGTCACGAGGGAGGAATATCTGGAGAAGGGTGTGGAATATCTCAAGGTCAGTTCATTATCATTCCTCCACGTGCTCTAGGTTAGACTGCTAGAGCACTTTACTCCACTGCAGTGCTTAATGTTATTAATATCCCTGTCGCTTTCCTCGGAAGAATAACATATCAAAAGTGTGCTTTTGCTGACTGTATCATGACTGTGTTTTGTAGGAGCACCGTCTCGGGAATGCATTCGCGTAGAGACGCAACCCGTAGAACCCAATCCCCTCAACCCCGCCCCCAAAAGACCTTCGAACCGGCTCTAGATGTATTCCACCGATCCATCCTCTTAACCTAATGGGACCGACAGTGTTGGTTTTCCGAGAATGAAAAAAAGACCAAAAGTAGAGAGGTTGCGTGTATTGATCATCAATGGGCAGGAGGTTTGGATTTGTAATGTGTACTATTAGTTTTTTTTGTTTTTTTCTAACCTTTTTTCTCCTTTTTTTATTATGATACTTTACGGTAGGTACTTCATGTATGCAGGTTATGGGAAGTGGGAAGTGGGGAGGTGGGAGGTGGAAGAGGTGGGGGGGAGTGATAAATGGTGGGATTCAGGGTCTCCAGTATGCTATCCGGGCGCTCGCGCGCGCGCAACGGAGACTCGATTCCCGGATTCCGGGGGGGGCGGAGGATCATGATTTGCCGCCCGTAAGCGAAAGCGAGAGAAGGAATGCTTGCCTTCTGTCTGTTCCAGAAATACTTCATCAAACGCATGCTGTATCATCTGTTCACAGTGTTTCTAGTGCCCAATGTTATATATGCTTACTCATCTTATTGCATATCCCTCGATTAGTTTGGCTGCGAGCCCAGGCATGTAGATAGAGTATCTACAAGTGATAGTGTAGATACAAGTGTAGATAGGTAGAGTAGCTGCGCAGAGTCTAGTTACCATCCTCATTCCATTCTCATTCCAGCCATCACTCATTCTAGCATCATCATCACTACTAGTACAAGTACTACTCATCCCTCTAGCCTTAGCCATGCATGACTCAGTAGCCATACCATACCAATGATACCATACCCTCCCTCAGTCACACATGATGTAATCCTAACTTACTTTACCCACTGACCGCCTTCTTCCGCACCTTATGTAAGTAACGTAACAATTCAAACCACAACCACATCACGAGCCCTCACTCGCCCCGATCCCCAGCCCCCCACTGCCCCCAACCTCCCCCCTCGTTAAAAAAAAAAACCTAGCTATGATCGCCGCGCTCTCTTCTTAATTTATTTCCACACACTCACACACCCTAGGTGCTCTGGGTACCCCCCCGCGATCATGAGGCGCCTTGGCGAGATCGAATGATTCAGATGGCAACAGATCTGGGGACTGGGTCTTTCCTCCCGAGGTGTTACGTAACCGTGTTTTTCCGGGGGGTGCGTGTGTGTGTGCTGTGTGTGTGTGTTGAACTCAGCTCAGTTTAGGGAGTAGATAGCCTTGTGGGTGGGTGGTAGTGGTGGAGGAGGGGCCACAAGAGTGTAACTATCTGGGCGGCGAAAGGGCAATATTTCTATCTATGTGTACGTATGTACATGCAAAACTCTACGAGCTGGATGAAGCCTTCTTTCTGCCAAAGGAAAAATAGCGACTGCACGACTGACAGGAGATATAAATAGCTCGGAAAAGAAAAGAAAAAACAAAGACAAATGGGACGATAAGGTTCCAAAACGGTAACGGACCGTCTCCATCTATCGCAATTGTTGGTTCGTTCGTTAAATGACAGATGTAGTTTGGAGAGAAAGATCAGAAAATCAGAAAGCAAAAAGATAAAAAACAAAAACCAGAAAGCAGGAAAACAAAAAACAAAAACAAAAATCTGTTCAATTTACTCAGCGCCGAATAACCCCCCAAAAGAAATTATGGATAGGAAAAAAAAAAAAGGAAAAGGAAAAAAAGAGCCAGATTTCCAAGGAAGGAAAGACTAACTAAAGGTCGTCCTCACTATGTATATATATTGATCCCCAGGATGATTTTCCTCCATAAACATAAACGTTCCTTTAGACTCGTTTCTTTCATCAATATATTCATCGATTGATATGCGCGGATGAAGTCTCCCGCTCCTATGGTGGAACTACCTCATCTAGCCTGTGCTCGACTATGAAAAGACGAGGAGAGCCGAGTTAAGGGACGAGTAATTAGGGTGTAAAAGACCAAGAAAGAAAGGAAAAATGCTATAAAATACGGAAAACGTTTCGTACACTACTGCCCTTAACACTCCATTTTCTGCACAAGCAAAAAAATGCAGAAGCACTGCAAGTCCTCAGCTTTGTTTTTCATTCGGTTCTCTATCTCGAGAAACTTAGTTCGCATTCCCATTAGTAGTTGGCTTCGGGGCTTCCTCCTGAACAACGCCCTCCATTCCACCATTGATGTTTTTCGCCCTTTTCGCCTGTACCGGGCTTGCGTTTCCCGCTTGCTGTTGTTGCTGCTGTTGGTTGAAAATGCCACTGCCCTGCACTTGTACGGCGACGTTCTGTAGGAACGCATTGTTAGGGTCTTCATCGTGTTGCCTCTTCCCGTTCATATTGTTCAAGTCCGGGACACCCGCAACACCCCCCATATTCGCTGTTGGTGCACCCGCTGCTGCCTGTGGTGGCGCATCATGGTTCAAATAAAGTGCCAAAGATGGCGACATTTGAAGCAACTGTATAGGCGGCGGGGGAACAGCCTCCTCGCCCTGAGATTCGATAAGGCGCGATTGAAGGTTGATAATATAATCGCGAAGTTGGTAGTTCTCAGACTGAATCAACTTGTAGGATTCCTGCATTTGGTTTGCTTCGCGGACCTGCTCCTCGAGCTTTTTGATGTAACCCTCTTTACGTTGGCGGAATGCGCGCTGCGGATTAAGCAAAAAAAACGAAGGGAAAATTGCGGGTTAGTCAAATGTTCAGGGTGGGTTATTCACATTAAGGTTATTTTGACAGTGAATAGTGGGATGGGTAGCGGCATACCTGTGCAGCGCGATTCTGTGCAGCGCGCTTGGAGGTTGAAAGTTCCCTTTTCCCACCGCGTTTCTGTCCGGAGCCTTCCGCGCCCGCTTCTTCTGCGCCGCTCTGTTGATCTCCGCCGCTGCCTACACCAGGAGAGGTTCCGGCGTTGTTATTCAATGGTGGACTCTGCGGCTGCACCATCATTTGCTGCTGTTGCTGCTGCTGCTGCTGCTGCTGTTGTTGCTGTTGCTGCTGCTGTTGTTGTTGCGCTTGCGGAGCGCCCACCCCCGAGATCGCCGGGTCAATGTTCATGTCGTGAGAAGCCATCTCGTGAGGACTCGAACTACCGGGAGCGTTAGATTCTGGAACAAGTGTGAGGATCGAAGGTTGTTCTGACTGTTGCCGCGGGGGCGGGACCTCTTCTCCCAAGAGGAGATGGGCTCGTAAAGCTGCCACAGATCGCTTGGTTAGCACTTCATCGTCGATGCAGGGCAGGTTGTACAGGGAGAGCTATTTCTTGAGCTCTTGATTGTGTGGGTGCAATTGTATTCAAGGGGTACCAACTTTGCTCGGTTGTTACTTCCTGGTGGGGTGTCAGCAACGATAACGAAGCGGGTCCACGAGGTGGTTGTGCGGTTACGTGTAGACACGGTGGTTGGTGTGGAGGAAGGAAGAGGGAAGAGAGAGGGGGTGGGGTGTAACTGTACCTGCGCAGTAGGAGACTGGAGATTGTTAGAATGATGCGGGGCTGGGGCGAGTGTCTGTGGCTGCGGTTGCATGATTTGGTTCCTCTGTAATATTTACGAATGAACTGGTCGGTCGGTGTGCACACTTTCCCTTCCTGTTGTGATAGTGGATGCTGTATGGTGAGCCTTCCTTCTTGTCTTCAATTCACCTTCCAACTGCTACGGCCCTTCTTTCGTGAACCCAAGAACGAATTACTTTTAAACTTTGCGATTATTTTTGTACCTTTTATTTTTATTTGTTGCTGTAGGAAGACGCGACTCGAAGAAGGCGGACGTCGACGTTATCCGGTGATCGATAGATTATAAGCAGATGGATGACTAGATGGATGGGTTAGGTAGGTGTGTGGATGAGATGGGATAGGATGGAAAGACAGGATCTTTTGAGTACCTAGATGGAATGGGTCCGTGTATGGATCTATCGAGTCAAACGGCGCGAGACTGATTCGCCAGGCAAGTTCCGGTTGGGGGTGGGCCGGGGTGGTTGCTCTTTTAGAGGTGTCTTGTTGACTAAGTAGAGATTTAGTGTAAGCAAGAGTAGTAGTTGAACAGGTACCAGTAATAAGTACATAAATAGCAGTGATAGCGACAGGAGTATCGGCAATAAGATAAACCTTTTTAAAGAGTAGGTATTTTGTTTAGTAGAGAGTACAGGCGAGGTTTCTAAGGGAAAAATAGTGGTATCTAACGAAGAATAGAAGAGAGGTGTAGATGGACGTATGGTAGAGCCTTGACTAAGTAGCGACGTCGTGGGAATAGATGGAGAAGGGAAAGGGAAAGATAGTCTACGTAACCATAGCGCAATATAGAGGAGATGTAGCTATTAGGAATAGGTATGATGCAATGAATGTGGGATATTAGAAAAGTTTAGGAGGAGGGGAATTACCCACCTAGAAACGGTTTCTAATAATTTCTGCTGACTATTGTTTTCGATTGAAACTGGAATTCTGATTAGCCTTACTCTTTTTTTTCCTTCTAGCTAGAAAGAAAACAAAAAATAAAGTGATGAGAAAGCGTTGCGAGATGAGTATAAGGGATTCTGGGTTGGAGGAAGGACGGTATGTAGGGAAAAGAGATATTTTAGGGGAGGGCCTAGGTAAGGCTGGATGGGCTGAGATGTTTGGTTTGGTTCGCCTCTTGTTTCGTTCTGTGCCTGTGGTTATGCGTACTTTATGTCTGAGTCTGATCTTCCCTAAGCCTTCGCTCTTTTTTCTATAAGTGGATCTTCTCTCTGCTTAGTTACCAACGATTCCCTCATTCTTGGTTACTGGTAGGTACATACATACGGTCTGTTGTTGTTGCTGGCAGGCAGGTAGGAAGGATGATGTGGTAAGTTGTGAGTAAGACGGCTTCGATGCTGGATAATGTAAGACGAGAAGGAACGACCCAACAACCCCAAAGAAAAGAAAAAAAAAAAGTGAGATGGTGTGGAAGCGAAGGGAAGGGGGCTCCGTTTTTCTGATTGGTCCGGTGCTGTGATTTCTTTAGCCGGATTGGGCAATCCACTGTTTAGTCAATTACGCGTCATTTGTCAGCAGTTTCGGGTAACAAAGCCTCGGCGGCCAAGCCACCACCAAAGGCTCCCTGCACTGGCAGCCTGTTCACTCACTCAATCTTGATGCCTGACCTCCAAATATGTGCAGTTGCAGTCTTTGAATCAAGAGTGGTGTGGGTATATACATAGCTGCCACCGGAAGAGAATTATCCAGTAATCCTTGAAGGACAGCTAAGAAGGGATCTGTCATGTACAGGCTTAAAACTATTCACAAATTGCAAAGATCGAGGGATACGGAACGGCCAATTCCCATCAGATATTTTGACGACCTTGTCAGGCTGTTATTGTGATGATAATATGAGCCCTCTAGCTATTCTTCTTCGAAAGCCAGATACTCTGTGATTCTATCAAAACTTAACGTATAATTATTGATATCAGTACTTGAACTATTAATTCGGCGTAACAGATTTGAACAAATTACCAAATTGAGTATTTGCTCAGCAAATTCCAGGCTCCCGGTGGCTTCATAGCCTGGTATCGGTCTTAATACGCTATGGATAGATTTTCGCAAACTGTTCTCCAGTCACTGCGGCTGTCCATGTTAAGACGTATCTTTCTGACTCGACTCGAGAGAAGGACAGTTCATTCCGACGATGGGTACGTGCGCGATGTGTTGTGCATACTCCTACTAGCGACCTTACCTGAAACATCGCTCTCGAGTCACATAAGGCACACAGGTCGATGGCAGAATCGAAGCTTTCCCCATCCTTCACTATGCCACGTGGAATATTCCAGGTAAAATTGCTAGTACAATCGTTCGCCGATATAACGAATGCCAAAAAAGCCACAAATTTGCTATAACGAACGGGTTTCGGTGATCCAAATCTAAATTTCACATAGAAACTTGCCTGCTATACTGAATAATCTGCTGTATCGAACGGAATATGCACGTTCGTTATATCGGCGGACGACTGTACATATAGGCACATGTAGTCAATATGTTTACGACACACATCCGAACACCTTATAAGTATCCAAATTCATCACATAAGCCAGAATTATAAATTTAGCCGTACATGACCAAGCATGGATCAATTGGGTTCGTCATCATCCGCCATCACTCGGCTATGCTCAAATCGACTTGATAACTACAAGTAACTTTTTCTTTTTTTTTAATTCAACTTGATAACCAACTAAATCAGGGTTAATACAGAGTGTTTCTTTTCTTTTCTTTCTTTCACCGAATAAGTAATTTGAAGAAGTCTTACTCAGCTGTCGCACCCAAGCTTACACACATATATGCAAGCACTAGCTCACCCTGAGGCATGAGAATAATCAAAAGGCAAATTTCATCATTACAAACTCGAGTAGGAAGTACCACCTATCTCTCATATTATTACCTAATCCCGTAACCGGAGTAGTACTTTTATGATCTGGGAGCCACTCAAATCACTCACTTCAAATCAAACACTGTTCAAGAAATAGACCTGATTTCTATGGACTCATTATACAGCTTATTCAGGACTGACACACTGGATATATCGGGCTTCTCGCACAATGTATTATGATGATGACTTTCCAAAAGTATTATTATGGCCGATGGCCGATTTCAAATTAATTCTCAGCACTTGTAAGTCCCCAAGGATCTCACGGTGACATGGCTTATGTAGTGAACAGAATATAATACGCACGTCAAATCTTCACATGGACGGCCTTCAAGACTCTATGGAGAGAGATGTGGTATCAAGTTTGATTAGGAAGTATTTTACAGTCATGTGGTTAACGTTTGAATATCGCGAGGTTTCGATATGGCATGGCAAGGTGAGAAATCGCATATGCCATGCAAATCATAACCTCACCACATTTGCAAACTGAGATATTCAAATATTTACGCGGGGAAAGCTGATTGCAATACGATTTTGAAGATTTTAGTCAGCCGAATTTGGAAATCTGTGATATTAGAGGGCCTAACAATACAATGTATGTCTGGAATGTTTTTTCAAAACCTAGACTTATAACGATCGATCGAATATTGTGAGATTTGGTCGTATAAGCACGTGAACATACATAATCTATCCGGAATAGAGTACCGTGCGAAGGATGTATTCTGAGGGTGTCAATGATTATTCTGCCGAAATATTTGATTGCCCCAACGATAAGCCTACACCACTACTCCTACGTTGCAACTCATATGCATCGCCATACCCATTCCATTTTGCGGGCCCAAGGGAAAATTGAATGTAAGGGGAATTAATGACAGAACCACACGCATTCTCCATCAACGGCACTATTATCTAGCTTATGAAAGCAGCATTCAACAAACCTTATTTGACGCCACCTGTCGGGCTTGGCGTAGCACACATGACAGATACCGCCAAGGCCTAATAATGGTACACGTAGTACTCTAGGTAGGCACTCTCCCACCGGCAACTGAGGTCCATCATCTTCGCGGATTCGCTTTACTCCTTCATCGGCATACCCTGGCATTATTCGTCCATGTGAAGATGATTTTCAATTTGGTGGCCTGACGGTAGGCAGCTTAGATCACTGAAGATTACCGTAAACCTGAATTGTCTAGGTGGGGCTTTTTGGAAACTCGGGGTTTGGGAGTAAATTCTTACCAGCTCATAGTAGCCTCGGTATAAACATTTCTAGAACTCATATAGTATACATACTTCGTCCTATTATCCTAGCACAATGGGTTCGAGCAAATTGTGCTTCAATTGTGTCGAGTGATATCTCTATGAAGCAGAAGTTAATTAAGTCTTTTTTATTCTGAAGTGTATATACATGCAACTCAAGTATCTTCAAAAGGGCACTGCATTCTTGATGCACAGTCGCGGCTAGCCTGGGGATCTTTAATAATGTCGATAGTCTTCTGTAATACTTCGATGTACTTATACCTCAATTGAAACGTTTATGCAGTTATAATGTATCACATAAGTAATAATACAATAGGTCGGATCTATACATGTATGTAGTAGTTTTCAAACCCGATAGGAAATACATGTACATGTAGTTTAAGTACAAGTAATTATTAATTATAAGCTTGAATAATCAAGAGATCAGGTACTCTAACTCGGATTTTAATTTTCAAGGATACACTGAGCTAAGGGAAGCCATATTATATATCTTATTTTAATTGAGATAACTTGATTCCAAGTTACTTATTGCAGTTGTCTCGGGCCGGGTCGGCTTATGGTTGTGATCACTAATGTATCCCGATACGTGGACACATCGAATACGATTAGCCCCCGTGGACGTCAATTACCGGACCGGACCTGTCCTTGTCAGAAGTCGCCCTGGCCAGGTAGTTTTTCAATAGAAATCATATTACCCCATCCCAGCAGCTTCAATCTACGGATCTGTCAGGACAAGTACACTGGTCGACAAACCCAAATTTCTTTTCCAATGCCATCATTACATGTAATATTTGATGTATATTTGCTTTGAATTTTCAAGTACCGGTTTGACTCTTATAATCATACAATCATCATCGCCTTCGCCGCCACCACCGCTGTAATACGATCCCTTCCATGCTAAGAATCATGTGTGGATCCAGATCCATGGACCCATGGAGTCAACGTCTTTCCTCTTGACTGTTGAACATGGGCAGCTGAGATAATTTCAAGCCCACCAGCAGAAATTCATACGAACAGGATGTCTCTATCAAATTTCAATCAACATCTGCCATGAAGGAATGAAGGGGGGGGGGGCGGGGGGGCGGATAATAGTGTCCGGAATTATAAGTAAGTGCTCGAGCTCCCCATGAATCTCATCTGAAAGAGGCAAGATAATATCTATGACGATGGGATATGCTCGGGTAATTCAATTTTCTCCAATTGCTGAACTAAGAAGCTTCGTGGACGACACTGGTGCACTTCGGTAAAGAGGGTATGGTAAGTTGGCCAATTGGTTAGTGGCACTACCAACCTTTATCCTCCCACCGTGCGCTCCACAAACTTATTTCAAACTAATATTCTCCATTTAAGGCCTTTTATTTCTCATCTTTGGGATAGTTTCTTGACAGGGCCTGCTGTTCACTTATTCATAGATTATCACTCGTGCAAAGTTTTAAGGCCAGAGAAATACAGATTGATTGATTTGATTGATATTTATCTGTGTACTTGCAACCCCTCCAACTTTCAACCCGCTAGTACTATGATCATGAGAGATTATTGAAGGGTGTATGAGATTTTGAGGGCAAGGCTCCTAGCTATAGCCCTGCAATCACCTGCCTCAATCCTATTAGCCAGCTTTCCATATTGATTGTCATCACATGCAGGTACATGTAGGCCGATATTAGCTAGAACGTATTTCAATGATTACTTACATGTGTTTACGTTACGTATAGTGACGGTGCTAAACACGTTTGACCTGTCTTTATTATAATTGGCATTCGCTGCACACACGCGCGTGTGCAACACTCGAACAAATATGCAAGAACTTCGTCACTCAACGATCGATGAGTACAGCAGATTGCATAATGATAATATCAAAAGACATGGGGGTCCCGGCTCCGTGGTATCATTTTATCACCCCTCGCGTGGGCTTTTTCTAGCTGCACAGCTGGTCCGGCCAAGATTCCCCGGTCACTTTTCACAAATTTGATAATCCTATGCTGTGCTATTGGGCCCATGGATGCGGCTGCTGCCAAAACAACAAGATATCATGCAAGACCCACAAATGAGCCTTTTAATTTCAGCAATTCTCACAAGTCACAGATTATGAAACCAGCCCACGCACAATCGAGATTGAAACGTTGAACCTTTGCCAAGCATTTAGTCAACAGGACAAAAACGTTTACAGAAGTAATGGCTATCGGCTCATTATTACCCTATCCAGAGATATCAGAGAGCGATTTTTTTGACGCTTAGTCGGGTTTAAGGAACCATAATAATAAGTGATTAACGGGAACAAGACCCGATCCCCTAAGAACCGGATTCCGAGGTCATGGGATGAAATAACAGCTAGGCATGCATATCAGAAACAGTAGTGATAAAATCCTCTAATTATTTAGATAAATGGATCCAAGCGGACTTTTTGAGTACTAAAACTGACGGGCATAAAATGTTCGACCTTTCTGTTTAGAACCATTGTGGTAGTATTATGATATATGCCACGAATCCTACATTTGTTCGCTGGATGCAGAGGATTTATATTAAATGCAATAATGTTTTTTGAAAATCATATCACAGGTGATTTTGGGTTTTCTTTTGGAATGCTCGTCCAATAATGCATTTAATCGAGTGATCTTTTATGATCAAGTAGTAATTTAGTCATGCAGCACGAGTATAGCAATGACACAAACACATAATGCAGGAGGAATATTCACGCATATTTACCTAGGCTTCCGATTCAAGAAGTCAAGACTTCGGAAATGAGCTGTATATGCCACCGTATCATCTCTCATAACTCAGCGTCCTGAGACATCACTCGAACGCGCTGGGGAAGTTTCAAACCATGTTAATTTTATAAATTTAACTCAATACTGGGCATCTATTTGCAGGTGACGGTACGCCGAGGTTTCCGCCTTGCTCCTCCGCCATATCTTGGCGCTGTTACTAACTGTTTCTTATTGGCTACTTATAGTTGACTTTATTCAAAGCTTACGTTATTGCATTCATTATCAGTTGGAATTTATACGGTTTCAGGGAGTTCACAGGCATATTGATCAAAGTTAATCTAATCATACAATGTTACAATCTCTCCCTCCTTATAGCTTGCGGTCCGTTAGGTCTCCAATCCCCCCCCCCCCCCACATGAACTACTGATAGCTATATCAAAAGAAACAAATGTATTGGTCTTCATTCATATGCATTTCCTTATATCATGCATCGATACAATGCGTGATTGGACTCGTTTATTTAAGGACTTGTAGGAGCCAATCCAGAGCGTACCGTTTCCAATGAGGAAGACGGTATTATTAATGGAATACCTATTATTCTCACGCGCATGGGGCGCAAGGCAGACAAGCCGCCCAAACTAGTGATTAACGGTGGTAATGATTGAAGCCCACCAGATCTTCAGGGTGGGGGTTTAAAAGCCTGGTAATATTCGAATGAATAAGCAAGCTGCGTGGTGAAACCTATCGTAAACGCATTAGAGATCCCACTGTAGTTCTGCTAAAATTGCAGAAGATGATAGGATAAATTTTGTTTCAGAGAACCAAATGATCACTTTATTAGCACAACTTTGATATGCCTAAAAAAACACTGCAGTGAAGTGAAGGTATTAGGGATGCGTAGAGCATATGATGTGTAGGAATGGGCGAGATAGACAATCCTGCAGCATGGAATTTTCGAATACAGATTGTGAAACCACGATGTATCGACGCTGCAGAGAAGGATACAGTGATTAGTTCATTATACCAAGAATAGCTAAAGGTAGTGGCGGTCCCCGCTTCTCTTCATCATCGCGCGGCAGTTAGTCACGCCAGATCCCGAGGATCCGGAACGTTTTATGTAGTCTTGATATAAATCAGAAGCGAGATCAGCGTGTTTCAAGTGGTATATCAAACATGTCTCGAGACCCGACAGCAGCCCGAGCCTTAGGAACACCACTTGAAATCTACACCAACTCCGAACTCAGGCGGGAACTCGGAGCCTGACTCTGAATACTGCACACATGTATTCACACATGTAACTTGCAATTTGTTTGTACCTTCGATAAACTAGAGACCACGCAGAGCCGCCTGTTTTCAAATCTGATATATCAACTTCTTGTCCCGTGGTGCTATATTTGGGGTCAATAGTTCATGAGCGGGATTTCGGAATTTCAAAAGCCCACTGCCCTGAAACGACAACTAGGTATTTGTTGCATATAAAGAATCGCGCTAAGACTTTGAAATAAATCATTGGCGTACGATCACTCGATATTGAAAAGTCAAGTAGGCTGGGTGCCTGTTTTAAATACAACTTCCCCAGATATTTGGATTTTATTTTGCCAAGGGGCCTGGACCAAACCCCAAGGAAAATCGCCAACAGGGCTGATTGACGTAAGGCCACTCTAGAATTTTCTTAGTCCTTGGTCTGATACACAATATTTATTTCAACGTCTTAGCGTGGCTTTCTTGCATACAAGTCAGAATGCGTTGCTTTGCGGAGTGGCCTCCGTCCATTTATTTTTTTAAGATAGGATGAATCACGAAGTAATGCAGAAGTATCGATCGTGGCGAAAAGATCTCGATAAAACTTTATCCGAATCCATCATTGCCATTCTCGTTCAGCACAAGGCAACGCCCAAGAGATCTTCTTGACAGTCAGGCTGTCGGCTTAATCGGTTTCCTCATTGCCCATTCAGCCTTGTAGCTATGGCGATTTAGCATCGCTTTGATCGGTAATCGATCAATAGGAATAGATGCAGGATTGTCGTAAGCTTCTATGGTCAAGATAAGATAGATGGTGACGGATGGTTTGCTGCGAATCGATAAACTTTACCGCCAAGAGTGTGGAAACACCCTTTAAACCTCGTTGACTCTTGAGCGTGGCCAGTGAAAGATAGGGTAACTCAATAGCCTTCTTTTGTTGAATCTCATCTGAAAGTAGACGCTAATAGATCATTTCCGCGTGAAATTTCCCACCACCTTCCCGGAACTCTTTCTTGTGCCAGTTCCTCACAACCCTATGCGCTTCCGCCGCGTCTCTACACCTAACTATCCACTTTGCTTCCGCCCCATTTTCTGATCCGTCAAATCTGTCGACGACGACTGTTCCAGTTGGCAAAACTCTTTCAAAGAGTATTCTTTCTAAACCTGCTTCATCCTGTGTTTCGTCTCCCCTGCAGAATTTCACGTTGTCGTTTTCGAGCAATTCCCTCATTTCCGCAGTTCTGGGAAGTTTTCCCCTTTCACGAGTATTCCCACCAAGGTCGGAAAGTGTAAGAAGTACACATCCCAGCCGGTCCTGACCACCCCTCCCACGAGAAAGAAAACTAGAAAGGAGCTTGTAGTCGTCGAATACCTTCTTGGTGTTTTGGGAGGGCAAATTCACAGTAGGTGTCTGTCCTGGAGGTACTGTAGACTTTGGTCCAAATAACCAGAAGTCGCCTTGTGCGTAAACAAAATCTCTCGCAGCTTCGGGAGACTCAAATAATAGGCTGTAAAAAGGCCTACGTGCGAGACTTCTCGGGAATCGATAGGGTACCACTGTTTGATATAAGAAAATGCCGGAGTACGTGTGGGAAATTAGATGAGCTTACCGCTGAAGCCTTCTGATGGGCCTTGGAATTCGGGAATATGCGCTTTCGTAGGCGCCATTCGTCGAATATCGCTCTCGAGTAGTGTACTACCGACTCCGCTTAATACCACGATTCTTCCGAATGCTGATAAGAAAAAACAAGATTAGCCGCAATCAAAATAAAAACGGCAGTTGAGCGTGAATATGTTGGCTAAGTACTCATGTGCTATATCAATTACAAATAAAGAGAGTGGATTTGAACACTTCAGTTATAACAGAAACAACAAATGAGCTGCCATTTTGATTTCCGGGAGTTTGGGAAAACAATTGTAGGGAGGAAGGGGGAGAGAAAAAGTAAATTCATACTAGAAGGTCCGTGTTTTGTCGTCTTGTTTGAATTCATGCGCTGGGTATTCTCGCGGCGGTCCTTGCCTGTGGTTATGCCGCTATTTTCAGCTGGTTCCTGTGGCGTGTACGTGGTTTCATCGGTGATATCAAGTCTACCAATTGGCCTTCTGGTGCTGTTACTGCCATTTTTACCAGTTCCGCCTTCTGCGGGATTATTTCCAGCTAAAGAGTTAGGAGAGTTGGTATATGAGCGAGATTGTGAGATTGTGTATAATTTAGGGAAATTGGAGGAGTAAGAGTATGAGGAGTAGGAGTGGGGGGAGGAAGAAGGAGTGGATGAGCAAGATCGTAAAGATAAAGTTTGTAGGCAACGAAAAATCCGTCGAGAAGGAGAGCATTGGGCAGGTGAGCGGAAGAGCTGCATCATGTGGTTGTGGTGAATGGTGGATGACGTGCTCGCCGATCTATAGATATTGATGAGAACCAGGGGAAAGTGAGGCGGATAGATGGATGGCTTGATCGATGGGATGGGGGGAGGGGGTGGTGAATGATGATTGTGGTTCAGCAGTTCAAGAGGCTCGCAGATACATGGATGATAGTGGGGTCCAAACCGTCCAATTTTGAGTTGCAGTTGGGATGGTTGGAACTTGTGGAGAGGGTTCAATTAAGAAATTTTACCCCTAACCCTGTCCCGGATACCTACGACCAACTTGGGAAAACACCCAGCTTTTTTTTTTTACATGTGTGTGTGCGGCTCTGCGAAAGTGTGCTGTCTCAACATGCCTTCCATACATGCTCCTGCTTCCGATCCGCCGATTTACTTCCGCGCCCGCCAACCGAAGCTACGGCCGCGGCTCCAGCCGACGTAAGTGCCAACCAATAAACTACTAGTCGACTTGACAGGCCAGAACCCAAACCCGTAACCAGACAACCACCACCACCACTACCAACAAAGTCCCAGGCAACCCCAAGACTGACTTGAGTCCCTGGCTGCCTTGTTACTGTTGCTAAGTTCTTTACTGGAAATAGTTAGGTGACCGTTACTTGAAACACTCTACTAAACTCAAAGAATTGACTCTGCCTGCTTCTCTGCCCTGACCTGCCACTATTCTGCCTAACTGTCACTCGTCACTTGTCACTAGAACTTGTCACCTGTCATGTCACTGATGTTCGTTCTTCTGTCCCTCACTCGGCCCTGTATCCTACTGTAGAATGTAGAGTGAGTGGGAAAGAAAGGAATGGGAAGAAAAAAAAACTCAACCCCCTCCAGCCAGGCCCTAATTTAATTCCCACTATGCCGTTTCTACTAGACACCTTTTCTCACTTATCACTTTTCTCGTGCGCTTTCCTCCCTGACAACGCACATTCATCTATCACCCTTCTTGGTTTGTGGACCTGCACAAATATCGAATGGAACGTAGAGAAATATATGGGTAAGAATTGAATGAAAAAAAATTGGATGGAACAAGGAACGGGGGCAAAGAACTTGCAGATCTGCCGTACCCGACACTCTGGGTGTACCGCAGGGAATCCTGTCACTTTTTCCAGCGCTTACCTCCCTCTCGTTACTGCGATGTATGTACAGCAAGATAAACCAACGGAATAAATACAAACAGAAATACCTGAGGAATTTCTAATATAAAAACTCTGTATACCCCATCCCCTGTTCCTCTTTCTCTCTCTTCATTATCCTCATCATTTCTCAACAGCATGGGCGTTGGTGATAGTCTCTGATAACTCTCTAGCTGGGAAAGCTCCATTTCTTACGACTTGGGCTCGGGGGCATTTGTCTGTCACGTAAGATGGGATCGAAGGGTAGGCAACTGCTCATTCGATGCCATCTTCACGTGAAGACAACAGCCTGCCGTATTGATTCTTTCAGAAGACATATTCCGTAAATGCTAGAGAGATTGAGATTAGCATTGAATATGAGTGGTATGTTATCTTCAACTATTGGCATTCGTGGACTCCCATCAACCTGAAAGCTTCAAGATCCTCACTTGGAGAGTTTTAATTTTGCTAAAGAAGTGAACAGGAAACTGCAGTTTACAGCATACATAAACTAACAATTTCTAGCAAGTATACTATCAGTATACGTATAGGGATATATCCGTTAATTAGCGTTTATTTTAGCTTCACATGGTCATTTTGACGTGACGGGTATTTTGAGCCGATTCAAGATCGATTTCCACCTTTAGACAAGGTCCGGGCCTTCCCTCACCGCCAGCTTGGCAACTGTCTTCTTATTTGCCCCCGGGCTTTAGTTCCTCGTTGGTTTCCGGATTTTCGAGTCTACCACCCCTGCTATTCGTCCAGCTGTTGTTGCAGGGTTTCAGTGGCGCAGGTGCATTAACGGTTAAGCCTCGAATTCTGTTGGTTGCTGCTAGCCCATCTACTTGTTCAACTCCAAGACTATCTATACCACTTGCTTTGGGATATCTTCTAGAAGTCATGATATCATGCGGGTATACGTGTGTGGCTCCAGGAACTCATTATTAGTTTGAAGGGGGCTTTTATTTCTTTAGCTACCAAATTACAAACAGTTAGTAAGTACCATACCGTACATATTCCGAAACGTCTGAAGGTTGATATTCGGAATTCGAAACTTGGGGGATACGTGGAGGATGTTTGAACTTAGCTAGATACGTCTGTATGTAGTATATCTAGAAATATTATAATATCCAATTCCAAGATTTGCAGAAAGCATTTAAGATACTTGATTGATAAAAGGCTTGCCCGTATAAACATGTATCTTTGGTACTAGGACTTTAGTTTTCAAAACTCGGAGGTGTTGTGCGTGATGTCTAGGACCAACCTATCGGCTTCTGCCCTACACAAAGATCGGGTAGATTCTCGGTTGTCCAAGAATTTGAATACGGACTGCAGATGGAACAACAGCCTCGGGTCATCAACCGAACCAGGACCCTCAAAGTTGCCACATTTAGGTACATACTGTAACATAGGTGAAGCCATTTTGCCCCTGATCAGAATTCAGACTAGCAAATGTAAACAACTTTTTTTCTTTTCTTTCCAGCTCTTCGTAATATGAGCTCCCCTGACACGTACCTTGTATGTACTCCTCTAATCATCATATATTCAGGATTTTCTCGGGTTAATTGACCCACAAAGTCCTCTCGCCATTGTGATATATGCCTCTGTGGTAGTAGTAATATATATTTGGAGATTCTCAAATGTGTGTCTGTATATTCAACGGTAGTTGTGCTTGTGGTAGTTGTCGGTTCCTAACAAATTGGCCCTCTCAATGCACGCGTGGCGTCATATCCTCACATATATGTGCAGCACATCATATATTCCACCCCATGATGTGCTGTCTTCGCCTTCCCGCACTTGCATTGTAATGCAGATTATCGGCAAAACGATGAATCTTGGTATCCTGGTATATCGCTCGGTTGGTCCCGGAGAACCCGCAAATGTGCATTCCCGCTCTTGCACCGGAAGCTACCAATGTGCTGGTAGATGAAAAAAGTACCGGCGGTGTGTCTCTGTATATCATAGCCACCGTGGTACCTGCGCTTCCGCAATTACATCTGCGGGCACTCCCGCCGCAGGCGACCCAGAAATTCAAAATCGACTGCGAAGAAATCTGAATGGACGTTAGAGTAGAACTTAACATGTATAAGAGTGCTTTGTTTCTTATAAGAGTGCTTTGTTTCCTGAATGGTGTGGTCACGCATTATAATATAAACGCTTACATAAGGGTGGTTGCCAACCATATGAATGATCCCCTTTAGGCCTTTTTACTTTAATTTCGAGCCATGGGACCGCCATGGTATCTCTCGTTACTTTGTAGTACTAGATTTTTGCTAAATTAGCTAGAGCTTCAACATGAGAAACGCAGTAGTACCGAGTTAGGAAATAATATGACGCAGTGGCGGCTGCAGTTGTAACGAATTCCGGCCGCGGCAAAGGACCTCACCTGGTACGGACGATGTACACCTTTGCGGCCGATTCTGCGACCCCCACTGAGATTCCATGCAGATATTTTGGATTTTGTTGTATCTATCATCTTTAGATAACTGCTAATAGTATCACTGCATTCTGAGAGCCAAGGGACGGTAAGGCTAGTGCCGAGTGATCGGGTGTGATTCTACCGCTCTACAGCAGACCTCCCGAGGATGACCCCTGTCGAGGCCAGGGGCGGTGATGCAGGCTCAACGAGTGTCCTTTCATGACTTCAATAGAGATTTGGATGTTTGTCTCAGATTTGCCGCTAACCGTACAGGCAATTCGAATTGATGTTTAGGACTAATGTCATATGGTAATATATGGTTAATCATTTGTTGATCGACGGAGAGGATAATGGACTAACTAGTTATTGAGACCATCGTGAATCAGTCGTGTTCGTGCATAGAAACATGGCGTCCCCGTGGCTGACCCCCGCAGTAAAGAGAACTGAGAAAAGAACAAGGAAAGGAGAGATAGAATATGTGTTACACAGTTTGCGTTTTACTTTACTAGTGCCAACGTGACGTTGGCTTTATTTCCCCTACTTTACTCAACTATATCTAGCCTCCGTAAATATACCCTGATCAAAGCATATATCCGTATCGTAGTTTTTTGTACTATCATATTCAGCCAAGCACTACTTGTAGCTTGCCGCCTTTGCATGAACCGCAAGAAAAAAGAAGTGCGTGTATGCAGCATATTGACCGGGGTTAGGGTTATAATTAGATATCGATACATTACTGGGATTTCGGCTTCTTCTTCTTTT